AGTTAGTCTTGCCTGATTCATTACGTTCAACAGTCATGCAAAGCCTACATGATGATATGGGGCATCTTGGGGTTGAACGTACGACAGATCTCATTCGGTCCCGTTTTTACTGGCCAAGAATGGCTAGTGATATCGAAATCAAAGTTAAAACTTGCGAAAGATGTATCCGTCGGAAGGCCCTCCCTGACAAAGCTGCTCCAATGGTGAGTATTACCACCACCAGACCTATGGAGTTAGTTTGCATGGATTTTCTCTCCATAGAACCAGACAGTAAGAACACTAAAGATGTCTTAGTGATTACAGACCATTTTACAAAGTATGCAGTGTCCATCCCAACCAAAGATCAGAAAGCCACCACCGTCGCGAAGAACCTGTGGGAACATTTTTTAGTCCACTACGGGTTTCCTGAGCGTCTTCATAGTGATCAGGGACGGGATTTCGAATCACGTACAATCAAGGAACTTTGTTCTTTACTTGGTATCCGTAAAGTCAGAACGAGCCCTTATCACCCTCGTGGCAACCCCGTTGAACGGTACAATCGTACATTACTCAGCATGTTGGGAACTTTACAAGCCACTGAGAAACATCACTGGCGCGATTTTGTAAAACCACTTACTCACTCGTACAATTGTACAAAAAATGACGTGACGGGATACTCTCCCTACGAGCTAATGTTCGGTAGGCAGCCTCGGTTGCCTATAGATATTGCCTTTGGGTTACCGCATTTGAACAAGCCCTCTATAACTCATTCTCAGTATGTTAAAGAACTGAAGAGTCATCTGGAACAGAGTTATGACATTGTCATAAAAAACTCTCAAAAAACAGCGAGGAAGAACAAAGAACGGTTCGACAGAAACATTCGTGAGTCCACACTAGGTGTGGGAGATCGTGTTTTAGTCCGAAATCTTCGCTTAAGAGAAAAGCATAAATTAGCAGACAAATGGGAGCAAACAGTGTATATAGTTCTCAAACAGATGGAAAACTTGCCAGTATACACTGTAAAACCAGAGAACGGAGAAGGACCCAACAGAACACTCCACAGAGATCTTTTACTGCCTTGTGGTTTTCTCTCTTCATTAGAAAATGAAACAGAACGCGTTACGAAACCTAGCAGACCTCATACAAGACAGAGTTCAGCCTTAGAACCTGACCCAGATGAGCCACTTGACGAAGAGGTAGATGAGTTTTATTACTCTGATCTTCCACAAGTGCTAAACCGACCATCCTATCAAATAGCGGTCACCTTGCCAAATAGGGAACTCATAGCAGATTCAGGACCGGTAAATAATATTCAACAACAAAACACACTATCCTTACACACAGGGGATCGCAAGGAACCAACCTTAGCTGGTAATGAAAATGCTGAATTGTCCTTACTTGACAAAGGCATCAACACCGAAACATTCTTACCTGACAGAATGAGTGAAACTGCGACATTCTTACCTGAAAGAGTGAAAGAAGCAGCAACATACTTACCTGAAAAAACGAAAAAAAACGAAGTATACTTACCTGACGTAGAAACGGGGGATGAAACTAACACAAACCTACCTCAATTGGATGGTGTCCTAAAGTCGCAGCAACGTGATGTAAGTTTTGAACCCATCATACACGATCAGACACATACATCTGAAAAGACCAAAGTCTTAGAGAATAGCTCATCAGCTCTGTCGGAAACAGAGAGCTCACTTCGTCCTGTCTCAGTTGAGAATCAAACCGAAACGGATGAGCATGATACTGTGCAACCAGAGATGTATGTCAGGAGATCTGAACGAAGTAGTCAGCCTCCTCAAAGACTAACTTACTCTCAATTGGGCAATCCACTAGTGACCGTAGTTAGGTCCCTTTTCCAAGGACTTAATAAAGCTTTTATTGACTCTCTTACTCAAGAAGTTGTGTACCCCGTAGAAACAATGCACAGGGACGTGCATGATATTTAATGGGGGAGGATGTAACCCAGAAGCTAGAACCTTAATGAGGTATTAACTAATTGGCTTACTAATATGATCCATCCTCAATTTAGATAAAATATAAAATATAAATTAAGGAAATTAACAATACTAATTAATAGATATCTAATTAACTAATAGATAATTTCATAATGAATTATTGGAAGGGTGAATAACTAAAATAACGAGTTTAATATTAAACATCGGTTAAAACAAGAATCTTGAACATCCCTAACAGAAACAGAAGAGGAAAGCTGTATACTATTGGTCCAGGTGGGAATCTGAAATTTCATTGGCTGAGAGAAATAAGTCCCGCCTCCGCGAAATAAAACCGTGCGACGCAGCTGAGCGAGAGGAGAGACAAACGGCTGTGCAGCACGCAGATACAGAAAGCAAAGACTGAGCGGTTAGAGAGAGAGAGAGAGAGAAAAAAAAACAACGGTCGAGGCCGTGAAGAACCCTGATTTGGGTGCCGCATAGATAGAGGGAGAGGCGGACTTGACTCCTTCTAATAAGAGCTAGGAACTTGGAACCAACGCGGTGAGTAAAGAAAAAAGAAGAGAAAAAGCTAACGATGCAACTTAAAAAAAAAAAAAGGAAACTTAAATAGCTTATCAAATTAATTCCATTCTTATAGATTTGTGTGGAGACGACAGAGTGAACCAATCCTCTGTAGGAGGGAACCGTTGGAGCGCGTTGGTGAGTGAATGAGATTAAATTCAGTAAATTATTAAATTCAAAAAGCTAATTACAGCAACCGAGGTGACAGCAGTGGGCTGCTAGACGTTAGATCCCAGGAGTTAACATCTCAAACTACCAGTTAACGGTGGTAGGGCATATAGGAGTTAACGGCTCAAACCGCCAGTTAACGGCGGTACGGCATATAGGATTCCCAGGAGTTAACGGCTCAAACCGCCAGTTAACGGTGGTACGGCCTAGATGTACAAGGTCCTCAGGGGCGTTATAGCTAACGCCATAGAATTAGCAATGCGTCCCTTAACCAAACATTTAATAATAAAAAAAATAGATAAATAAAAATAAATAAAAGCTAACTGATTAGGGAGGAATTATTTTACAAAGGTGGACCAAAGGACCAGAATTTATATTTTGTTTAATTTTGTTATAGAAAATTTTATTTATTTATTTATTTATTTGTTTATTTATTTATTTATTTATTTAATGTGTTACAGATATACAAGGTGTCACAATGCTGTATAGAAACACAACTAAATGTATCCTTGTTGTCATGAATGTATTTCTTGTCGAATAGTGTAGAGTAATAGAATCTAACTGAGCCTATTGAGCTGAACAATTGTTGTCATATGTAATTATATTTCCAGAGCTACTGAGAATTATTTTAATAGACAATCAAATTGATGTTATGTTAGTTGAACTGTGAACCCAAACATGATTGGCTATGCCAATAGAGTGAAGCATTTGTTTAAGTCTGTAAGACTTTATGCTGTGATGTGACGAGAAGGGTCGATGCCAACTTGCTAACAGTCCTGTTGTTTACAGGCTGGGTTTTTTTTTTCCTTGGGTTTGATCCCGACTCCTATGATCACTCACTTGGAACGAGAACTGGATTTCTTCCTGACGAGGGAGATGGCGAGCCTTAACCACTGAACGAACCAGGACATCTCAAGTAACTGAAGAGCAGACTGCTCTCTTCTGTGAACAATCTCAACGGTGCGGTAGGAAAAAATCGCACCACCGGACTCTGACTTTCACCCCAAGCGTGGGGATTTGACTTGACACCGGCTGACTTGTGACTCATATGATCAAATCTTATACCGAGCATTTTACTATTGTCGATTGTTTTCATCTGTTTTTGTGTGTTATCTTTATGTGTTATATTTCCCATTATTATTAAAATTTAGTATATAAACCGTTTCATGCTATACCCGTGACTCCAGTCATTCTTAAACAACCTCCAATTCTCCCTGAACCTAATAATTGGCCCATTTGTTTATTTTTTCTTTTAATTATCTTATTGTATCCTGTAATCCGGTTACAAGTCCATGTTGCAAAAAAAATTTACGTGGTGTATTTTTATCATGAATGTATTTTTATGGTAGTTTATATTGATTGTAGCCTAACCCGCACTTTCCACCAGATGCAAAACAGGGTAATAGACACTTCTTCATCGTGACCTCAGCAGTGCGTCCCTTCCTACCCAGAGAATTTTAGAAGCACAGCGGTTGGGAATGCGTTCCACACAGCTGGTCTCGTCAGATCACGAAATCACAAGATATTTGAACTCTTACATGATCAAATGTGATTTTGCCAGTTCATGCGACAATAAGCAAAGACATAAGCATGTATCCAAAAAGTTTGTTGTTTATTTTCTGCTGTTTTTACCTCGGCCACAGAAATGTTGATGGTAATGACAACGTGTTTATAGTTAAGCAACAGGAAATATGCACAAATCTTTTATTTTGAAATTTGCCGAATTCTTTACACTGCTTCCTGTGGCCCTATCTGAAACACTGAGCTTGACGTTTTCTGGAAGCGTATCACGTAAAACACAGATCCGATGTGTAAATTTAGCATCCTGCACCCAGTGGAAGCAAACCCATTGACTTTAATGGCGGCTAATAGCCACTTATTATGCTTCGCAGGCATTACGTGCTACCAATGCATCCATTGGAAAGCCGGGATAATAATTTATAAACCCCTGAGTTTTCAGCACCTCTAAACAGACTCTGCCTATAGATGATGTAAATGTGTATAGGTGAACTCTGAAGAGTGTTTCCCTACTGAACCTACCTCCAGTCTGCACTCAGGCTGATTCCAGTCAGAGTTTTTCTGAATGGCTGACAGATATAGAGAAGCATGAATGGAAAATGGTACAGCTGGATGCTCGACTGAAGGAAAACATCTGCTGTCTCGACACTTTTTCAGTGTGATTTTTTTATTTTGCCGAGCACACACGGAAACTTCCAGATCTGTTTCTGCTTTTCATTCAACTGTGATTAGATTTATGCTTTCAGATGCTCTCCTGTTTGATCTTCTCGTGATCCTTTTGTGATCTCCTCCCTCCACCTCCTCCAGGTGAAGCTGACGTTTGAGACGGTGGCTCCAGTGGCCAGGGACAGCCCTAGTGACTCCTTGTTGGTCCAGAAGATGAAGGCCTCTCCACCCGTCAGCCAGCTGGTGCGTCTCCTGTGGGGGGAGGACACAGCTGAGCTCCAGATGTCCATAGGACACATCCCTCATATTGCCATGTACCTGTCGCTTAAACTGGACTCTGCATCTCTACAGGAGGAGGTCAGTGTGAAGAAAAAGAGTCCCAATTTTCTCATTTCAGTCACTAATTCAGACGTGTGCTGAGTGCATCTGGATGAAATTTGCTTTTTGGGGCTACAGCAGTTGCCACTGACTGGCTAAAAGAGGAGTTGAAATGTTTTAATGTAAAAAGGTTGAAAAAGTCAACAAAATAAATGCCAGACTAACTCTAGAAACTTTTATTTTGAAGGAAGTTCTGTCTACAAACAAACATTTAAAAACATTAAATGGAAAAGCTTCCCTTTAGAGCAGAGAACGGACAAATAAATCTTGTATAACCTTGATTAATTGGGAAACAAATCGCAGCAACATAAAAGCTGCTTGGACGTCCAAATATTCTTCCATTCTTTTGGATGGGTATTTCATGGGAACGTTGTGTCATTATTCAGTGTTTTAATGCAGCCTTTAAACCTCCATTGCAACCTCAGACTTTATAATCAGCTGCCTTAGAAAGCGTGTCCCGATAATCGAGCATGACGAACAACTTCAGCTGGGAGAGAGACTTTAAAAGTGAAAAAGCTTGAGAAAGCTGCTGTTCTGGACGGCTTCCAGCTCCTTCCTGCTGAGGCCAAGATTAAACTAAAAGATCTGTACAATGAACGATCATGATCCATTGAGCTCTTCTCATGATCGTTTTACATAAAAGCTTTAAGTTTTGTTATTTATAGTCAAATAAATAATAAATCTTATTTAATTAAATCATGTGTAAGGCTGTGGGAAAGATTCTAAAGGATCTTGTTAGATGTTGCCATGACAACTTACCACTCTCTTACTCTGTAATTACATTTCTTTGTGGACAGCTGATTTCAGGTTGTACTTTACTGTCCGTAGTAACTTTTTATGTGTCTTCTTGTGCTTTTTCAAAGTATCTGGTGACCTGAACTCGTGGAAATGACAGGAACCCTCCAAATCCCTGCCTTTGATTCATCAGCTTGATGATTGCAGGGTTGCTCAAATATAAAAGTGTTTTTGAGTGTCGGTTCTGTGGCGATTTGTTGATGTGGTTTGTTTTTATATATGTAGCAGGGGCTCACACTCACACTTCCAGCAGCCGTACGTGTGTGTAGCTTCGGCCTCGTGTTCAATCTTTATTCGGACTTCTGTTCTGGTTTCCAGAGCTGTAATCCGTCATTCAGGTTTTGTTTTTTGTTTTTTCTTACTGATCGCTGCTTTTTGTCCTCCAACATGCTGGGAGTATTGCTAATCTCACAACAATTCTCTGAATTTGTCTTCCAGACTAAAAGCACGATTTTGTTCCTTCCAGAGAGGAACACGAGTTAGAGGACACTGTCAATGTGGCACATTACACATCACGTGGCTTGTCTGTAATTTACAGAACACATAAACGTTTGGTAACTGAACCATCCAAAGTCAGATGTTTCACATTTTTAGGTACCATTTTTCCCTGTCTAGGCTAACCAGAGATGTTTTTCTACACCGCATGTGTAATTTTCATGACCTGGTGCAAAATTGTAGCCAGAAATTTCTTAACTGCATTGTTTTTGTGTTTTTTGTATATATATATTTTTTTTTCTCAGGAAGAAATTTTGTACCAGTACCCTTCGTCCAAAGCATCCAGCCAGCTGAAAGGAGTAAGGGGCATCTTCCTCACACTCTGTGACATGCTGGAGAACGTCACAGGAGGGAGGATCCTCAGGTAGGGACCAAAACCACTAAAGACAATCATTTTATTGTATGAAAACAAAGATGGTGTCTAAATCTGTGCATCAAAGCAACACTTAATAAATGTCCTGCTTCTCACTCTTACTGGTTGAAAGCGGAACTGTTGTAAACGGTCCTGCACAGCCTGTGTGGCTAGCGCTAACAACGAGCCAACATTAGCATTAACCAACTTACACTGAAATAATCCACAAAGTAAAATGATCCACACTGTTGGACAAAATATTGCTAACAAATCCAGTAGCAACAAAGCCAGGTCACTATGAGTGTGATTTTTATAGCATTTTTTAGCCCCCTCAAACTAGTGTAGGCTGCGCCATGTTCACTCTGGATGTAGCTCTTTGTTTCACCTCCAAAGACATACTCTCATAGTTTTTCTTCCAGGCTCCCAGGTGATGCCAACAAAAAAAGTAAACTTCTTCTTCATGTGCTTTTTATTGACCCAAACTCAAAAATCGAACTGCTAGCATATACATTAGCTACCAGCATAGTTAAAAAGCTATGACTGTAAATTTAATGCAGTTTCTGGTCTGCAACGCAGCACTGTCCAATGGAAAGTTGATCAAGTTTATGGCTCAAGAACCACTGAAAACAAATGGAAAACAATAGATCCAAGTGTTAAAAACGTTAGTGTTGCTTTAAAGAAGTTGGATTTTGCTTTAGAAATTCTGAGAGTTACATATGGGAGTGCTGTGAAGCAGCTGCATACCACAGTCAGCCTGATTGTCTTTACGTGTTTTTATTTGCTGTATGTCTGCTCTTGGGCGGGTTGTGCTGAAATGAAATGTAATTGTACCGGGACGCTGGTTCAGTGACAACAAAATTGATTCTGATTTCTTATCTGTTCCCTCGCTCAGTTCCTCTCTCCTGCTCGGGAAACATCTGGTTCACGTTGGCTACTGGAAGGAGCCCAACAACCTGCTGGTCATTGGCCTTCCTGCTGAGAGGTAGATGAACACTGCTGCACACAGATCTGTCTAGATATCACACTAATGCAGCTAATGGCATGTTTTGATTGAAAAAAAAACCCCACAGGAAACAGCTCTAGAAATGTAACGTTTTTGATGAGAGATGGCACAAAAATTTTATTTTTTAATTGTAAACTATGTAACGGAATGAATGACTCTCATTTTTCCCTTCTTTGCTCAGAACTAGTCTGCATGAGATATGGTCTCAAGGTCTCATGCATTCCTTCTAACCTGCTTATTTTCAGCTCAACAGAAAAATGAAGAATGAACTCTTTTCTTTTAATTAACCAAAGAACTCTATTTTAATAAAGCTAATCCATCAAAGTGTTAGTCAATATAATAAGATGTGACCGACCTGTGAAATCAAAATATTAATTACTTTATTATGATCCTATAGAAATAAGTACTGTGACTTTAAGTGTTCCAACAGGACTCACTTCACGTAGTGTTAAAAAGACACAACACATTCCTTTCACTGATCCAATCAGAATCTTACAGATCTGACGGAGACGTGCTTCTGACGGTGTTTGGTAATTTTCATTCGACAATAAGCCATAACATCCGAGGTATAAAACTACGCCACGTCAGCTCTAACGCCAGTTCAAAGCGTTCTAGAGAAAGTGACGGAGTGGCCAATCCTGACCTTTAACTCTTTAACCGAAAAAACCAACGACAAGCTAGAAAATCCCATCGCTATAACAACTAGCGGCAACAACAGCTCCTTTCAGAATAAAAGCTCCACCGACCCAGACTTGGGTCTGACCAGATGCCAATAAAAGTGTCGTGTGCCGGAAGTAACTCGAGACGGGTTTGATCGGAACCGCGGCTTCTTCTACCAGCTCGGTTTCCAGAGAGGGTTCACTGGACCTCGATATTCCTGATCTACAGAGGACTTCCACCGAAGGCAAAGGTAGACCGGCAAATGGTGTCTCATGCCTTTTCTGAAGCTAACCAAAGCTTAATTCAAAACAACATCCTCAGTTCCCGGCGTCGGAACTAATCGCTTCTTCGGATTTGCGGTTCTGATTTACATCACAAGTCATCCATTCACCGCCTCATCCATTTTTAGTTACACTATACATTTAGTTTAAAGTCAGGCTAGTTAAATTTGTTAGTAATAAAATTCTTAACTTTTAAACTTGACTCCCTCTATTCTGTTGTCTCTGAGTGAATACGTAACGCTTATCTAATCTCTGCAATAAAAAGATCCAATCTTCTGGTTTAAATAACCCTTCGACCTGTAAAGTGGATTCTATATTTCCTATGGAATCCCACGCCTTATGGCTCATTAATTAAAATGTAATAACCCCCACTTCATTACACCTAAACACAAGTGCAGGTGCTTGAATGTGCAACAGGAATTCATTATAGCACTAATGTTTACCTTTGTGAGACAACAGACTTATAATTGTCTTGAGCATATATTTTTGATGATGCATAAAATCACAGCTGGTGTATGATGATGGAAAACTTTGAACATGCTTGAAAATGGCTTGAATTAGATTTTAGTCAAATGTGCAAGAACCATGAAAACATTTACTTCTTTTTCCCTCATTTGTTTTGTAAAATCAGTGCTTAACCCGCTCAGGCTCAATATAAGTTTTGATGAAAGGACGAACAACTAAGTTCTTCAGGGGTACTTCTGAGTTAAAAAATGCTCATGAAATACGTATGTGGAGTAACCAGGTAGGTAGGTTTTAACTGTGGCAAATCTGCAACACCTGCCTCCAGAGGGTTAAAAAAGTGTGTGGCTGTAAAATTATTCTTACCTTTAAAACCACCAACTGTATTGTATCTAAAACACCATTTTCTAAATTCCTTAGAGCCCTTCCTCTTTAACAGTATTCTTAAAAAAACCTGCTTTCTGCTTTCTCAGTAAAAGTCCAAGTGCTGCAGGCGTCATAAAACCAGCGTAGAATTCAAAACCACATTTATCTTATTTAATATAAGCAGCTTGGGTTGTCTAACGTACCATACCAAAAGCCTGTTAAACCAGCTAATACTAAAATAAACCACAGAGTAGAAAGATCCACACGGTTGGACAAAAAAATAGTATTTACAAGTCCAGTAGCAACAAAGCCAGGTCACCATCAGTCTGTGATTTTTGTAGCCTTCTTTAGCTCCCTCAAATTAGTGTAGGCCACGTCGATGTTCACTCAGATTTTTCTTCTTCTTGTGCTTTTTATTGGTGATTGGCACACTGAAAATGCTAACCGCTAGCATTACAGCTAACAGCCGTAAAGCTGGCAAACAGCGCCCCCTATGACACTTACCTGCTCCACAAAACTATCAAGTGTGATTTTTGTTCAGTAGAGGGCTGCAGAGTGGTGTCAGATATGAAACTGGTCAAGTTTCTAACCCAACAACTACTGAGGTCGACGTCAAAGCTCTAGCTTAAAGTTTAATAAATGATCTATTGTTCCTACCATGTCTCATGGTTGTAGAAAGGATATTAGCCTGTTTGAGAAGGGTCAACGTTTCCAATGTGTGAAATTGTTCTAGGTCCTCTTTAACTATTATATCATATAGTATACAATAACGGTTAATGAGTTTTATAACCCATCAGAAATCATGTCTGCCCAATGACTCATAATCTCAGAATCATTATTTATATTTCAAAGTTCTGCACCCACAGTTGTAAAAAGGAGAGCAATTATTCTGTTTCTGTCTTCTTGGCTGCTAATAATCCAAATATTTGAGCAATATTAGTTATACTGGTTTTTTTCCACATCTCCCTGCAGGGTTCCTCTGCTGTCTCTGCAGACGGTGGTTGGAGATGTAGTTCGGACATTAAAAGTGATGTACGGCTCCTTGGACAGGTTTGCGTTCCTGTGGTTCTTGTTTAAACGTCCTTTTTCTGGTTATATAAGAGTAATGAGTTCACTCAGTAAGGGAAAACTCCTCACTGTTTCTGACAGCCTCAGCTTGCTTTTTTGCTTTGTTCCTAAAGTTGTGGAACATAGAAAAAGCACTTTTAAAATATTTTTTTTCTGATTTTAATCAGTCACTGAGTTTATCATCCAGGCTGAACATGAAAATAGTCTCCTACACCTACTTCCTGTATTAGCTTCTGATAGAAAATAGACAATGAAATGCTAAGTTTGAAAGGCCTGACAGATCTATCTCACACTGTCTCTTAACATTGGTGGACTCACCCATCTTGGCTCAAAGGGGGAAGGCTGTTGTTGGTTTAGCATCCAGGAAACAGCAGAGAACGTCTTGACTAGTAGAAGCTAACTGTTAGCTTTAGCAACTCCATCACATGGCATTTGTGGAGACAAAACATCAAAGCAAACAGAGTCAGTAGTAGAGTTGTGTTGCTGTTATTCAGTCAGAAGCGAGATGTCTGAATATCAGGGAATAGGACTCCAAATCCTGCCGTCTGAAGCTCAGCTAGCTCCTACTCCCTGAAACAGACGCACCGGAGCTTTGTTTGCCTAGAGAATAATTTACAAGGCATTCATTCCTACTAGAGACCACCAAAAGTGAAATGATTAAATGAATGATCCACACCTTTAATACATCTTGATTTATAGTTATTATTATTATTATTATTATTAACACATATGTCCTCTGCAGTGCGTTCTGCAATGAGGACCATGCTCCCAGGTTGGACCATTTCTTCTGCCTGTTCTTCCAGCAGCTCATCCAGCCTACACGTTTAAGGGAAGGATCCTCGGCACCATCTCCAGACGTGTCAACGACCCTTTTCCTGGATGGTTTACCAGCGATGCAATGGCTCACTCTGCCGCCAGAAATCAAGGTTGTATGCTGTCATTGGGAGAAATGGAACTCTAACGCCCTCTTGTGTTCATTTATCTTAAATCATGTTTTTTTTATAAAATCAAAACCTTTATTTTTGGGTGTTTTTCCACAGATGGAGGTGGACACAGTTCTTACTGACTTTGAGTCCTCTGATTTTGGAGAAATGGTGAGGACTTGTTGAGTCTACTGTCAGAGAGGTGCTCATGTAAGAGTTCGTATCTATACATGTGTTGTGCTCATGAAGCTGAGAGCATGCATCATTACTAGGACCGCCTGTTCATCTATCTCAGAACACGTATCACCTGTGAAAGCTTCACTTTAACATAAATCATCATTTCTCTTGTTGCAGTCAGAAGACTTTTTTGGCCTGAGGCGTCTCTATGTGATACTCGGTTCCTGTTTGTTTTACAAGGTGAGTGTTGACCCAGAATCAGCTTCAGACTCCACACTGGACACCCCCGTCCTAGAGTACAGACAGTCCTCTGTATATGTGCAGACACCAGTGAGCCTTTAGCATAACAGAAACTCATCCAGCCTGTCCCCTATCCCCAGTCCTACCTGATAGCCAACCACCTACCAAAGGAGGACCTGCTGGACGTGTGTCTGTACTGCCAGCATTACTGCCTGCTGCCGCTGGCGTCAGAGCAGAGAGTGGGTCAGCTAGTCATCTGGAGACGTGTGTTCCCCCAGCAGAGAGCTAACGCAGAGATCAGCTTGGCTTCGGGCTTCAACCAGCCACAAGGACAGCGCTTCCTCCTCATCGTGGGACTGGTACGGTGGTGGTTATCTACTCGAATCAGGGATGGAGTACTTGAGTCGAGTACTCCATCCCTGACTTGAGTCATGTTTAATAGCCTTGTGACTTGACTCAAAAGCATACCAATCACTTGGGCTTGGACTTGTCCTCCGACACGTGCAAATGTGATGCTCCGCCGTGTGACGCTGCCAACATATCCAGAAAGCGTCCACACACGTACCGCGCATTGTGCGGTTTGGTTTTACAGATGTTTCCTAAAAGTCAGAAAAAGCAGCGCCGGGTGTGTAGGAGGACAATAGAAGACAAGACTGGCAAAATCAACCCGTCTACGCTAGCACCAAGCTAACGTAGGAGCATGTGGCAGAATGATAAAACATACTTAAAATAATAAAATTCAAAGACTTTGGAAAGTTGTGGTTATTGAATTTGTCCAGTAATCTGCCCTATTATAATAAGCTAGCATTAGCATCGGCTACATGCTAATTCAAAAGCAGTATCAGTTAGTTTTCTGTGTGCAAGCTTAACAAGTGGTGATTGAAAGTGGGCGTCAGACTGGGAGATTCTTCTTGGGATTTAGTCTTGGTCTGTTGGACCTAGTGACTTGACTTGGACTCGAGTTAGGTGCTAATTATTTTGTGTTTTCAGCGAGTTTATCTTGTCTAATGTCATCATTGACATTAATACGACTTTGTGGCTTCCTTCCTGCACTCCCTCTGTCTCTGCACCTCAGAGACACTTCATACAGTGTGTTCTGCTGGAAGCAGCTGGTTGTGCTTCTCCCGCTCTGGGCTCTCCAGGACCTGACTGTGTTTATGTGGATCAGGTGGGCTTTCCTTTCATCTAACAGTGTGATTATTATCTGGAAGGAGAAGTAAACTTTAAAACGTGTTGTCTGGCTTAAGGTGAAAGCCACGTTATTGCAGCTGGAGGTGTTGGAGCCAGGCATAGAGGAGCGTTTAAATGCCCCGCCCACTCCCTGTCTTTCATGTGCTGATTGGTTCCTACCTGCTGTCACGGCCCGTGACCGGCTTGACAGCCTGGCCTCCTCCTCTTCTCCCATCCTCAGCAAAATCGCTGGAGCCATCAAAGGCTCCTCGTCGGGGTCCAGAGGGCGGAGCCTATTCGGTGAAAAGTCCCGCCGGTCCAGCCCTCAGAGGAGCTTGTCAGACAGCGGGAGTGAGGGGCAGATGGATGCTGGGTCAGGGTCTGGATCGTCCCCGGAACCAGCGAGGAAGCTTGGGGGAAGACGGGACTCTCTGGGTTCTGATGGGAGTGGAGCCATCTTTAAGGTTCTTTTCAAAATGTATCTCTTAGAGGAATATGAATGATAACAGTTCATTTACGTGTGAGTGTCTTTAAATTGAGTTTGTGTCTGGTAGATCGCGTTTTTATTCTGATGGGCTGATTGTCTTCATCAGACTCCTAGGATGAAGCACCCAAACCCGTTCTACCTGGGAACCCTGAAGAAGACCCTGACGGAGCGGGAGACAGAGGAGATGTACAATAACATAAAGTAGGTGATGGAGAGGAACCCGTGTCTGACACCACTCAGTGATTTACTCGTCCCAGTAACAGGTGACCCTTTGGTCTTGTTTCCGTCTGACAGACTAACATCGGGTGCAGAAAACACCTTGTTTCACTACGTTCTGATGGAGAGCGTGCAGGGGATCTTCATCGCTCCCACTCACAGAGAAGTGGCACAGCTGAGCGGCTCCATCCACCCACAGCTCATCAGGAACTTCCACCACTGCTGCCTCTCCATACGAGCTGCACTGCAGCAGAGTCTGCCAGCCAGGGTGAGGCTAACAGCATTTAGTCTAACCTACAGATGGCAATCACAGGTCGTACGCAAGCATTTGAAGGCATCGCTAGACCGACACAAAACAATGTTTTAGCTCTGTTAGTTTGCTAGGTGCACATTCACAAACTAGAGGTGTTGGTTCCTCTCAATCAGTCCTATACACCGACTTCTACGGTTGTCTGTCAAACTGCCTCCACATGCTGTTGGACGACAAACAAGTGCACTCACTGCTAGGGATGTCAGACAGCGGGGCAGTCCTCCATACACTGAAGGCAGATTTCTAAAGCCACTTTTCCAAAGGGTGCAGTTTGGTTTGACAGTCTTTTCTAACTGCACGGATCGGTATTTGCCCCAACTTTTCAGTACCTACTGCGCTGTGGTTCCAAGCGTGCTGACCTGCTCCGGAAACGCAACGTCAGCGTCTGATTGGCTAGAGGGTGGAGTGGCTGGTTTTTCTAGAGCTTCCTGCCTGCAGCCGTTTCCGCCTGACCAATAGCCAGGGACTGAGCAGTGTTCAAGATCACCACCTTTGCTATGCTGTGTTGATTTTGTGATCACCTCACTACTTTTGTCTGGAGGAAAGACCGCAAGTGCCTCTAACCGTCTGTCTCGTGCAGGGCAGCCGGGGGGCAGACCGGCCTCAGGACGCTGGCTGGGGCCTGGGTCCGGTCAAGGAGCACGGGGTTCTGTTTCAGTGTAAACCGGAGAACTGGACCGACCAGAAGAAACCTGCCCCCACCATGACTTACTGGGTTATAGGGTACGGCTGCCCGTCTGCTTTTATCTGCTCTTTTTATGTGTCAGAGATGAACAGAAACAGAAAAAAGGGGACCAGAGTGAAGATCGTGTAGTGTTAAAGGAAGACGTTCACCTCCCCTCCAAGCTTCTGCAGCAGCAACAACTTGTATTTCTTGGTTCTTTTTAAACAGAAAAGAAACGTTTTCCTTTACCTTATTAGCTAACGTTTCGGCTACTTGCTGCGGCCATCATCAGAGCTGTGATGATGTTGTCTACATTCTGTTGTTCGTGATAGAAAGGAGTGCGAGAAAGAAACAAACTGAAGACACACGAGCAGCAAATCAAGAAGCAGAAAGTACAATAAAGAAGTCAGCCGTAACTGACCACTGCACATGAGAAAACCACATGATGGACTGGGACAGAACAGGGATCATAACCACAGAGTGACAAAACTACAAAAGATGGATTAAGAAATTGGTAGAAATAAGGAGATGTGGACACAGAACCATAAACGGAGACGATGGGGCCGACACGTTAGATCACACACGGGACCGTCATCGGTGAGGAGGGCGCGGGCAGCAGAGGGCGACACCGCAGCCAGCATCATCACGCTCTGACGATGTTTACAGGAAGTAGCCAAAACGTTAGCTAATAATGTAAAGGAAAACTTTTCTGTGTTTAAAAAGAACCAAGAAACACAAGTTAAAGAGACACAGAATGATTGTACACCGACAACACCTTTCTCTGATTTCCAGGAGGATGCTGCTGGAGCCCGTTCCTCAGGAGTTCTACGTCTGCTTCCACGACTCGGTGCCAGAGGTTCCTGTAGAAATGGCCTTCAGACTCTCCTTCGGCCTGGCTCTGTGATGCTTTACTTTTATTAAAATGATGCGATTTCAGGCTGCCTGATTTCTGCAGCTGACTGACAGAGGAGTCTTTTTATTACCATAAATGGTCTTTGTTACTCATTTATAATATTGTACAGTTTTGTATAAAGAACAGACTCATTTGCTATATAAGTGAACATTATTTAACATTAAAATGCAACAGTTTCGTATTGTTTGAAGGTGTTTTACTTGATCACAATTTTGTCTTACACATTATTCCATGCTGAGGGAAAACCATATCAAAACCTAAAGTGTTTATTTAGCCACAAAATCATAAATATTTGGTTTATTTAACAGGTAATTTCACATTTTATATAATCAGGATGTTTAAAAAGTAACACAGCAGAAAAGCAACATGACATGGTAGCAGAGGATCAGGCTGCGCTCTGCACTAGCAGCAGGTTCCTCCTGTAACACTCCAGGCTGCAGAGAGGAACCCCGGTCTTGGAGCACGAGTACTTTTTAATGTTGGAGCACCCGCTCACACCACAGTTCACCAGGGTCGCCGGTGGAGGGCAGGGGGGAGCCGAGGCTGGAGCAGAGACCCCTGCAGGGAAAGAGATGGTAATTCCCTGTGCTGAGTCGCTGTAGCGGACCATGGGGCACTGGTTCTGCTTGGACTTCCTCTCCTTCAGGCTTTTGATTTTGGCCTTGCTGGTTTTCGTCAGTCTCTCGATGGTCTGGTTCTTGTTCTCCTCTGCCTTCTTGGCTGCCTGCAGGCGTCTCTTTCGAGCTCGCTCCTCCCGCTTTTGCATCATCTCAGCAGTCATCTCTTTTTCTTTGTAGCCCATAGGCAGCTCGAGCAGAGGCTGGGTCTGCTGCTTGTGGAGGAGGGCTTTCTGTAAGGAACCAAACCCCGCCAAGAGATGAAAGCTGCACGGTTGATTCAAAGTCTTAAATCATCTCTCTGAGCCTCTTAAGTGAGCGTCGGACCTTTACGCCACATTAGTGAGATGCAACTGATTCATAATTTTCTAAATACTCCTCAATTCTTTTTCTCACCTGCCTGGCGGTGAGCAAAGACTCATCCACCTCCTTCTTCAGCTCCCCGTTGTCATCAAGTTCTCCTTTTTCCAGAGCATCCAGCCATCTCTCCTCCTCGTCCACAGGCCCGCCCAGCATGGAGTCCGAATCCATGTCTGGTAGAGGAGATGCTGCCAGGTTACTGTCTTCATCTGGGAAACAAAAACCTTTTTTTTTTTACTAATTTATGGCAAGCTATGAATAAAAACGCTTCCATATGGAGATAAATGTACCTTTTTTGGGTTGATTTAAACACAAAATTTATTTATTTAGACATTTCTTAAAGATCAATTTCACTCATATTTTAATACATTTGTAGGGCTCTCCAGTAGGAATGACTGCTATGTAAGTTTTTCTCATGAGAAACAAAGCTCCGGTGCACCTCTTTGAGGACGTAGACATCATCTGAAGGAGAAAGTAGCTTCAGACTAGGGCTGGAACAATGGGGCCTAAAATCAATATCGCCATATATTGAGGATTTCACCTCGATAACGATAAATGGACGATAACTACAGGTATGTGCAGAAACAAAAGTTGTCCACTAGACGGGGCTGTCACATATGTTACGTTGAGTCGCATTTTTATGTGACTCAAGAAGGTACAGCTTCTTAAAGGGACATGAACGTTGCCAACCTACACACATCTTTACTTTTTTTTTTATTATCAAACTGATTGACATGGGAAAAATTTTCTTGATAAGATTCAGAAATTTCAATAACGATACATTTTTGATTTATTACCCAGCCCTACGTCAGACGGCAGGATTCGGAGTCCTAATTCCTGATGTTTGCACATCTCCTCTATGACTGGCTAACAGCAGCACGACCACCACTGCCTGTTTGCTTTGCAACATTAATGTTTTATCTCCACAAATAACAACAGTCTGGAGGAGTTCTGCTGTGTGGTGGAGTTGCTGATGCTAACAATTAGCTTGTACCAGCTGAGACGTTCTCTGCTGTTTCCTGGATGCTAAACCAAAAACGGCTTTCTCCACTGTGAGTTAATGTCTCCATGAATGTTAGGTGACAGTGTGATGTAGATCTGTCAGGATTTTCTGAACCGAGTGTTTTTCCACCTATTTTTTTTATCAGAAGCTAAAACAGGAGATAGGTGTAGAAGACTATTTTCATGTTCAGCCAGCATTAAAAACTCAGTGACTGAGTATATTTATTATTTTATATTACTTTTATTTATAAAAACTGTCGCAGATGCAGCGATTGTGGACAGTCGTCGCTCCCCAGACCTAGAATATATGAAATGCAGACCTCTTTATTTGCTGCATGAATTCAGCGCAGTTATAATCACTGTTGTGTACATTTCATAGGATGCTAAAGCTAACACGGCTTTGACTCATCTTGATGATAGCATTAGCCTTAAGCAGAGCCGCTATCCAGAGGCGGTGTTATTGGTTGTGAGGGATTTTAATCATGTGGACTTGAAGCTAGGGCAACCTAATCTCTATCAGCATGTGAAGTGCGCCACAAGAAGAGCGAATATCCGTGACAAACGCTCCCTCACCTGACCCATTCTGATCATTTGTCACTGCTGCTGATTCCAACACACGTTCCTGTCATGAAAATCTGCTGCCCCTATTCCGAGGACCATCCCATCCGGGCCTGTTGATGTCTATTTGTAGCTGCAGGACTGTTTTGAGACAACGAGCTGGGCAGTTTTTGAAGATCTAAACCTGGAATTATTGACAGAGTGTGCTGTGCTAGATTGAGACTTGCATAAATACTGTTACTGTAAAAAAAAAAAACGCAAACGCATCTTCCCCAACCAGAAACCCTGGATGACCAGGGAAGTCCGGCAGCGGTTGAAAGAGCGAGACATTGCCTTCAGATCTGGCAAAGATCATTATAGAACAGCAAGGCCAAATCTGAGACGAGGTATCAAGGAGGCCATAAAGGAGTAAACCTGAAGAGCATCTGAAGCAACAAGAGCAAGCATTTCTGGCAAGAGGTCCAGATGTGGTGGGGAGGTGGAGGGTGATGCTTCACTGGTGGGGGAGATGAACCAGTAAGACCCCCGCCAAAGACAAAGTGGAACGGTTAACTGAATGGTGTTCAAAGAATAATCTGCTCCTGAACACTGACAAGACCGAGGAGATAATAGTGGACTTCAGGAAGAAGACAATGGACCTTTATCCACTCTTCTTTAAAGGGGTCTGGGTAGAGCATGTGTCAGTCTTCTGATACCCGGGAGTTTACATAACAAAAAGGTTAACCTGGGCAGTGAACACGGAAGAGATGGCAAAGAAGGCCCTGCAGAGACTTTTTTCTCAGAGTTCTCAGGAAAAATAACATTCCCTAAGAATTGATGGTGTCCTTCTATTGGTGCTCTATTGAGAGCATCCTGTGCTGTATGGGTGTATGGTTCTCCAGCTGCACTATAGTCCATATGAAGAGGCTACAAGGGATTATTAACACAGCACAGAAGATTGTCGGCTGTCCATTGCCCTCCCTAGACAAACCACACACAATTCGCTGCTGCAGTGCAGGTGGGAAAATCACAAGGGACCTCTACCACCCTTCTCAAAAGATGTTCCAATTGGTGCCTTCTGGAAAAAGATACCAGAGCATCAAACTAGGACCAAAAACCTGAAGGGTAGTTTCTTTCCCTCAGCGGTGAGAGCATTAAATGGCCACTGAATGGCCAATTAGCAAGACCACCCTGTTTTAGTTCACATCTGGGTTTTATTGCTTTATACATTTTAGGGTTTAACGTCAGGTTTGTTATTTTTAAATATCATAGGGTTAATTATTCTATAAAATGAGAAATAATAAGAAAAAAATTGTTTCTCAGTGAACTCTTTGCTCTTTAAATTTTAAATAACAGCCAATAAAGTTTGAACACATTTAATTTTTGCTTTTCCACCTATTTTGTGTTTTTCTTTCAAACTGTGTCCTTTAAAGAGAAAGTTTGCACGATTGGCTACATTTTTTCAGAAACTTTACCCACCTAGCCAGGCTCGGTACTGCTCCAAAGGCACAGAGGGCTCATCGTCATCATCATCTTCTTCATTGTCGTCGTCATCATCCACATCATTATCAATGATCATCAGTGGGGAGGGAGGACGAGCCACGCCAGGATGGACGGTGAAGGTGGGAACACTGAGAGAGAGAGACCGCAGCTAGATTACACACACACACACACACACACACACACACACACACACACACACACACACACACACACACGCACGCACGCACGCACGCACACAGAGATCACCTTTTGGTACCCAGAGTCTGTCCTCCCAGTTTGATCTTCAGTCTGAGTTGAGGTGGAGCCCGAGGGATGGACACGGGCACGGGTATGGGCACTGGCTCTGGGGCCTCAGCAAAGCTGTGGTGTTTCTTCTTATGCTTCTTGTGTTTTTTGTGTTTCCGCTTGTGAATGCTGTGCAGGCTGGAGCTACCTTCTCCTGCACAAGGAGGAATTATTTTGTTCGTTTTGCAGGAAATAAGCAAATATGAGAAATAAAAACAAAAATAAGTGTAACAATTAAATGATGTCTGTGATTGTGATGCTATGGTTAAATGACTGGTTAAATCTGATCCTAAATCAGGTGTGTCTTACAGGAAACCAGCAGTTTAACCACAAATGAACATACAAGTTAAATTTAATACGATTATTATTTCATACTCACCAAGAAATCTGGGGTGAATCATCATCACGTCCTTTCTTTTCCCCATTAAAATGGCTAAAAACAGGACTGCTTCACATGTCAACACAACTCCTCAGATTCATTCTGGTGTTTCCGATCACTCTGCTATGCTAGTTTCGTATTAGTTCTTTAGTATTTAAGCTAAAGTTTAAAGTATCGTCTACCAAACAAAAATGTATCTGCACGAAAACATATCATCCCAACAAACCAGAATTTAACATTTTAGATACAAACAGCAGTTAAGCTAAGCTAACAACACGGACGATTAGTCTGCAGCACTACTTCCGGTTTTTTCCGGAACAGGTGTTATGCCAACATAATAGCACCCCGGGCAACCAAATCAAATCAAATCAAAGCTTTATTTAAAAACGGTCATACGTGTTCAAAATGAAGAAAAAAAGTTTAAATTTTTCATAAAAGAAATTTAACCATGAATTGGTGTACACGATTTCAACGTTTACTTAATTAATTTGTGAAATAAATCGTTCTAATAATCGTTATACAAGGGAGTGGCGTCTCACGGCACGGGGTACTATTTTCAGCACAACACCAAACCTGGTCAACTGCGCTATGTGGGTGCTGCTACCTAACGGGCAAAACGGGAAGCACCCGGCAGCTGAAAGAAAGCGGTAAGGATTACCGACAGCCATTTTTACAGACTACAGTAATTTTGTTGGGCAAATTTTTGGTATTAGAAACGTGGCTGTTTTGTTATTTTTAGCTCGACTAATGTAGTTCTAGTGACAGACTCAGCTTCTGACCACTGCGGGGCTCCGTAGTTCGCGAATCCCCCGGGTTGTTACTACAGTTTTGTTTACGATTTATGCTTACTGTAATCTATGTTCACGTGTAAAACAAACCGCATGTTTCAATAGTGCGTTTATTCCATGATGGCCGAGCATCGTGCGGTTTAGTTGTCATTTAAGTCAATACTTTCTAGCATGAGCTGATTGTGATTGCCGCCCATGTGCAGACATACTAAAGGAACAGAATAATAATAGTAATGGTTAAAAAATTAAACATCCACATAATCCCACCTGTAGTTGAACTATTTTAACGTGTTGTATTTAACAGTGGCAAGTAAGAGGATTTAACTCCTTGATGCCTGACATAAAGCAATAAACAATTTTAAAAACTGTTTACTAAACTCGACTTGTTGCGCAATGTTAATGAAACGCCCATAAAATAAAAACATATATTTTATTTTTAAATTATGTAATAACATAGCTAACAGTAATATAGAAAAATAAAATTGGCCCTTGCCACCTGTAGATCCTCAACCAGGAGGCAGTAGACATGAACAGAACAGAAATAACCATTAGTAATCCCAATACTCCATGAGGATGCTAATTTGCGTAAATAGTCCACAAGTTGTTAACGGTTGGAAAAAATATGTTAACATGATTGTGTTTTGAAAACTTTATGCTTTCTAATTTTTTCAGGAATTATGAATTACGCTCGGTTTCTGACAGCAGTCAGTGGAGCCAGAAAGCCCTCCCCAATCAGGATGCTGAGTGAGTATATCTCCTCCAAGCCCCCAAACTGAAGCTTGATGAGTTTGTGACAACTGTGCGCACACCAATTGTGTAATCCTAGTTTAAGATTAATTTGTAACATTTTAATAATTAACCAAAAATAATTATAAAAATGATAAATTACAAATTTGCAAACAGAGCAGAGTTTTAAAGATGGATTTTCACAAAATTGTCTAATTTGATCCAACAGTTCATGTGTGACGTTTTGCTAAAATTTGCCAAGCATGTCATCCATGGACAAATTCTGACCTCCAAGTGTTGCAACTGCTAAACTAAATAGAAAATTTAACTCCAGAATCTTCTAACTTTACCTGATTTTTCTGTTTCCTGAGTGAAGCTGAGCTGCAGCAGCGCTCCCCTCCCTCCCTGATCTCCCTGGCGGGTGGAGCCCCGAATCCCAACACCTTCCCCTTCCAGTCGGCTTCCATCCAACTAAAGAATGGCCAAACACTCAACTTTGATGAGGTGGTGATGAAAAGGGCCCTGCAGTACTCTGCCTCTAATGGGTGAGAGAAAGTTTGTTCCTTTCTAAAATTAAAGAACCTAACTTCTTTTAATAAAATCAAAGACCCATCGGTTTTTAAAACATCAAAGTTGCGACTGAGCAAATCTTCACCTGTGTAGAATCCCCGAGCTGCTGACGTGGATGAAGAACCTGCAGAAGAACCTCCACAGCCCGCCGTCTGCAGACTACGCTCCTGAGAAGGGACAGATGGACATGTGTGTGACGACGGGGAGTCAGGAGGGACTCTGTAAGGTAACGTCACCGTATCGGCTCACTAATCCAGTTCTATGTTGGTTTGTGATAGCAGATTTGGATTTTAATACTGACATTTGCTTCCAATAGCAACTCTGCTCCTTTAGAGAGTGTCTTGTTTAATTTTTTTATTGTGTTTATTTGCACAAAAACACAGTTTTGCTGGCATTTGTAATTCCACACAAAGCGTTGTGGACAGAATGTTAGCCAGTAAAGTGAGCGACCCAGAAGTTATTTCTTGTAACACTAAGAAGCCACAACTTTCTTTTGTTTTACTCAGATATCAGGTGAAGAAGTCTAGATGCTAATATTGAGCTAACAATGCTAATGGTGAATTAGAAATAAATAGTTGGCTCTAAAAATATCTCAAGCTACTTTTTCAATCACCGACAACTCAGTGAGATGTTTTTATCTACCAATCTGCTGACTAGGGCTGGGACGATAATCAATAAATAAATTAATTGTACAATAAATGAAAATGATGTCAATAATTCTTCCAGCCTCAATAGATTGTGGTTTAGAAATGTACAACTCTATTATTATTTATTATCATCATAGAAGTGCAGTTTTGGTTATTGACACTGGATAGGCCATTGTATTTTTTAATTTGGAGGGACAGGGACTATTTTATAGGGTTTGGTTTGATATTTTTAAACGTATTTATTTATTAATTTATTCAGAAGTTCGGGTTCTAATGTTAAATAAACGTGTACTTGTTGCATTTTGAAGGGTGTCCTTGCATTATTATATTAACATTACATGAGTGGTTATTTTGGTCTTGGTAATGTCGACAAAAATCATCAATAATTTGTTAGACAATAAATCGTCCAGCAAAATTTGTTATCGGCCCAGGCCTACTGCTAACTGTCAATGACTCGTCTTAATTCGAAATCTAGAACATCGGTTGCTGATTCATAGCTGGCAACAGTTGCTCAGAGCAGACTTGTTTGTTTTGATGCATGGGCTGCAGTACCATCATTTGACCACAGGATGCCAGTCTTACTTCATGCCTCTTTAAAGGTGCTGCATGTAAGAATATAGTGAGAATTTTACAGTGAGAAAATCCCAAAAGAGTCATTTTGGAAGGAAGTTTATACTGAAACATATTTCATATCCAGCTGGCTGCAGGGATTGTTCGTGTTCTCCTTTCAAAACAAAGGAAGGAGGAATGTACCATCAGTGTGTGTGTGTGTGTGTGTGGGGGGGGGGGGGGGGGGGGGGTCTCCTGCGAGCTAATACTGCAGCGCCGACAATTGGTTGCATTAACCAAATTTTACCACAGGATGTTATTTTTACTTCGTTTCTACATAATGCACCTTTAAACAAGCTAGATTTGACAAAGCAAAGTAGCAAACTTATGTTTGATTTTTGTTTTTGAAGGTGTTTGAGATGCTGGTGAATCCCGGGGACAATGTTCTTTTGGATGCGCCCACGTATTCAGGCACGCTTGCTGCTGTAAGTCCTTCATCATGTCTCACACACACACACACACACACACACACGCGCATGCATGCACACACACTTCACATGCCACTCTGACCCCTGTATCTGTCTGTAGCTCCAGCCTCTTGGGTGTAACATAATAAACGTTCCCAGCGATCAGCACGGCATCATCCCCACGGCTCTGAAAACGGTTCTGTCTCGTTGGGACCCATCAGAGGTCCACAAACCCGGCAGCAGCGTTCCCAGGATCCTCTACACCATTCCTAACGGGGGAAACCCCACCGGAGCCTCCATGACAGCAGAGAGGAAGAAGGACGTCTACGAGGTTAGGCAGGGTCCTAGATAACTGTATCACCTTTCTTTTGAATCATCAGACCTATTCTAAAACTACTCAGTTGCTCCACAGCTGGCCCGACTGTACGACATGCTCATCATCGAGGACGACCCCTACTACTTTCTGCAGTTTGATAAGGTATAAACGGTTTCTGTTAGATTGTAGGGGTTTAAAACACACAAAAAAGTCCTGAAATGTCCTCTTCGCACGGCAGCCATGGGCTCCAACGTTCCTCTCTATGGACGTTGATGGGAGGATCATCAGGACGGACTCCTTCTCTAAGATCCTGTCATCAGGGTGAGCATCTGAAAAAGCTTCATTTCTATGTCTATATGTTTGTTTTTTTCTCTTTATCTGAAATAAAGCCACCTGCTTTTAAATAATACACATATTTAAATGAATTGTCCCCCAAATTATTTGTTATTTTGTCAGATACAATTATTTATGCTTACTGTGTGTGTGTGTGTGTGTGTGTGTGTGTGTGTGTGTGTGTGTGTGTGTGTGTGTGTGTTTTCAGCCTGAGGATAGGCTTCGTGACCGGCCCAAAACCTCTAGTGGACCGGATCGTTCTGCACATCCAGGCCTCCACGATGCACACCAGCACTTTCACACAAGTAACTAAAGCTTCAGTTTTGGCTCCTGATTTTTAAATGGTGAAATCAAAGTTTTGCATCCCAGTGAGCTTGTGTCCCACTTTCCTATTCAGATTAAATTTTGATGCAAAACGTGCTAATTTAAAGATAGATAAATATGTATTTGCTCATCACAGTGATAACGCAGCACCTTACAGGGGTCTGTGGAGCAGAAAGTGGGCAGAAACCTGACAGCAGCAGCAGCAGGGAGCAGCGTCGTCCCAGAATATTCATTTTTATCGTTCCAGGTTCTGTTGCCCACATCTCAGACTGGGAGGTTTATAACCAGGATGTTGTGCTTCCTTTCAGCTCATGGTATCTCACTTGCTGCACGACTGGGGACAAGAGGGATTTCTCCAGCACATAGACAGGTACGGTACTTCCTGCATGACTGGTTTGACTCATCTGGGAAAGAATAAGGTATTATGACGTCTGTAGTTAATTCGAGAGCAAACATCTCTGCTTCAGGTTTGTTTTCCTCCAACAGGGTGATAGAATTTTACAAAAGGCAGCGTGATGCTATGGTATGTTCTGCAGAAAAGTGGCTCAAAGGTTAGTAGACTCAAAAACACAGAACACACATTTTTACACTAACAGGTGTTTTTGTTTTAATAATATAGCTCACATGTTTTTCTTGTTTGTGCATGAGGAAAATTTGCAACTAACCTTTACATTTATGAAGACACCCTTTTTGCAACTTCTGTGTGTTTGAGAAACTTAAAAGTACTTCAGACAATTATTTATCAATTTTAAGATGAAAAAAGGACCACAGATGCACAAAAATTGTGTAATAAATTTCATGCAGTGCCTATTGTACATGAGATATTATCTGGTGCACATGAGATATTATCTGGTGCACATGAGATATTATCAAGTGTGCATGAGATAATGTCTAGTGCACACAAGATGCCGACTTTTTTCTTTTACCCACCACCCCTAGGGACTCTGTAGCATTCCTGTTCTTCAGTTAGTAGCTGACATGCATGAACGTACAACATTCCTGTTCAGACAACCCAGAAGAAACTACAGACAAATATCCAAAGCTGTTATAAAAGCCATCAACAGTCGATAGCAGATGCTGCCACAGATGAAGTCCCTGCATTTGTTTATCCCGCTGAATCACTTCTGTTTGTTGAGGAAAAGTATAATAGGAAGCAGCTTGGTGGTGAAACGTGACACTCACTCATCCAAACTAATCCAAACTCTGGAGTGTGTTTTCACAGATCCACACCAGCGTTACAGGTCCAATCAGGAGCCTGCACTGAACGCTTCTGATTTTTTTGGGTGAAAATTACATTTTTTTCATAGCTGTATCAATTATTATTATTATTATTATTATTATTATTATTATTATTTTCCCTTGGCTGAGCAAACACTGCCTCCACTTTTTCTCTCAGCTGGTGTTGGAGCTCTAATGAATTGCGCAAGATCCTGAGAGATTGCACATGATGTTGTTTTCCAGATTTGATCCAAATAGCCGTAACTGAAAAATGCTACGTACTAAGCTTTACTGAGTCATCAGAGCTAGTTTACTCCCATTAAGGTTTTTGATGATCTGTGATGTTTTGAGTACAAACTGACTTGTGTTGGTGTGTAGATCTGGCAGAGTGGCACCCTCCATCAGCGGGCATGTTCCTGTGGATGAAACTGAAGGGCGTAGCTGACACCCAGCAGCTCATCATGGAGAAAGCTTTGGAGAAAGAGGTAATAACAGCCACCTGCTGTCCTCCTGTAGCAGGTGGAGGTGTTTCTGGGCCTACCCTGTTAGGGTGGAGACATGTTGCATCAGGGCAGAGGAAGGTTTTGTTTCTCTGCGTGTAGACAGCGGTGCTCACACTGCCAGTTTCCCCTCCTACACACACACATACACACACACGAAAGTGTTTAAAACTGACTAGTTAGCTTTGTTTCACCACCAGTGGATGCAGTCAGGCTTTTCCAAAGTCTCTCATGAATCCTGAGAATTCAAACCCCCACACACACACACACTCACAAAGCATATAAAGTCCTCTTTGTTTCATTAAACCAAAGAAACTCCAGTTCAGTCTGCTATAGTTGTGTAGACGCGTGTTTGTGTTGATTAAAGGTGCTGCTGGTTCCCGGAGGCGTTTTCATGATCAACAGCGGCGAGCCGTGTCCCTACGTCAGGGCAGCCTTTTCCTTGTCCACACCTGAGCAGATCGATGAGGTAAAAACACAAATACGGGGCACTAAAAGGGACAAAAAACAGACACAGTTGTCAGCTGACTGGGATGTCTCCATTCTGTCCACAGGCTTTCAGAAGACTGGCTCTACTCATCAGAGAAGCTTTGTGATGACTTGGCGAGGTCTTCTTTTTGAATTATACATTTTTTATTTTAAGGGTTTTAACCAAAAATGCATTTTTTTTAGTATTCGGGTGTTCATGTGAATGTATACCTTTTGACAATGAACCAAAAACAGATCTTGCTGCTCTACTTAAACAGATGTTTTATCTAATTAATGTCTAAATAAGTAAAAGCAATCATGTTTTTTTTACTTTGGGTTTATAAAATGTATTTCAAGATTCTACTCAAATAGATTTTCTGTAATTTTTATTTTGAGCTCCTCATTATTAGATTATATTATTATTGAAGATATTCAAAATAAATATTATTTTTTTCGTATTTGATTTCAGGAGTTCTGTTCCCCAACTTTTGGGAATCTCACATTTAGTACGGATTAGCTACACAGACATGCCTGCCACAAACAAGATAAATACAAACAATACTCCGTGTATTAGCACTTTACTGGTTGAGGTTATCAAATCACTGCAGCACAGATACACGGAGTTATGTATCTACATCAGAAAGCTCCTGTTCATTATTCTGTCTTTTATTTAAATTATTAGGAGGTTGTGGTAATTCTCTTTGTTATTTCAGATTCCTTTATTGAGATGTAATCAGTGATGGAAATGTTTAACAAAAGACTTGTGAGTTTGTTCAAGAGAAAAATACAGATTTTTATTAAAGTAATCCTCAGCAGCTGTTTTTAATGGCTGGCGATCACATGACACAACATGCTGAGAGCAGCTGGGTCCATCTGTTTCTTTCTTTTTTCTTCAGATTTCCTCCATGTTGGGCTCCCGTGTAGCTCTTTGGTGTTTCTCAGAAGTGTTTGTGTTCAACAGAAACACTCATCTGTGAAAGATAATAAGGTCAGGGAGGCGGAGCAAAGAAATTCTTCAATACACAGTCAAAAAAGAACAAGAAAAAGCCCTAATAAGGACCATTAGACTCTTTGCTTTTCCCCGAACACGAGAAACTCCTCACATGCCCTTTAATATCCACTGTTTTATTAATAGATGAGGCATTATCGGCTCAGTTATTGAGCGTCTGCTGATTTTTTAGACTTCAAGGTTACTTATCCAGTCATGCTGACTCGCCCTCTGTTTACAGGTGCTTTAGTATTCTGCCTTTATCTTTTTCCTAGAATCGTGTTGCAGCAGCAGCAGAGGTCAACTTTCAGTCCCTTTTCAAAAGGCGGCCTCTCAGATTGGCGTTCACCCACTGTCCATTTATATGTTGCTGTATGTCATGTTAATGCAGACACAGCAGGCCAGGTGCAGCTCCATGAAATTAAACAGCTCCTTTGTGAGCAGCGTTTTTGGTCTTTGAGCTTGGGAAAGCTCAAGGTCAGCCTGAACAAATATCCCGTAAAAATACACCTCAGAGACAAAGACAAGTAAAGGGATACTTTGGACATTTGCAAGGGGTTTTGGTCAATTCTAAACATGTTTATGAAGTTCTTTGCATAAAATCCCTCTCATATCAAATGATTTCAGCAATTTTAATTTAGCCATTTTCAGTACTTTCCAGAATGAGCCATTTCAGGGCTCTGTCACTTTAAGAAAACAAGCTGGAGCTGGCCTCGCCCACCTCTGCCCCACTCAAGCTACATATCTGGAAGGGGCTTGGAGTAGAGCCGCTGCTCCTTCAGCCTGGAGAGGTGAGAGGTGGCTTAATTCTACCCCATTTGTGACATCATAAATAGGGACTTTTTGAAACAGCTTGTTTTAGGCATATAGTTTCTAAAACCACTGACAGAAAATGGATGGACAGGTTTTTTCCCCTCCATGTTCAGAGTGTTCATAGAGGCAGTGGAGACCCAAGTGGCAGCACAAAAGAATGCAAAAGGTGAGTTTTTATAACATGTCCCCTTTAATAGAATAAATGCCATTTAGCTCCGGCTGCAAATAAAACTACCGGTATTCATAAACCTAAAAGGAAAACATGCATCCGTACTGGATTCCTGACTTTCCAACTGACATTGTTAACTCAGGTGTGATGCGTTTCTCTTGTTCAAGTTCCAACTTCTGCGGTAAATAGAACACAGGAAAAAATATCCTTATCAGCAGCAAAATGGAGTGCTTTCTCTTCCTCTAGGGGTTAAGTCTATCGGGAAGTAGTATTTTAACCCCCCCCCCCCCCCCCCCCCACACACACACACACACACACAAAAACATCCAATTTTTTTTCATTATCCTGTGTTGCACAAACTGCTATACAATTGTTAAAAGATGGCCACAATCCACTGTTTTTCAGACTAGTCATTAGCTTATTAGTCCTGAAGGCGTAAACTCTTTCTCCAAACAAAGGCTGTTCATGAAGCCGTTTTTAAAATTAAAATATTATTTATATTTTTGACAAGACAAAAAAGCACGTGAAAATGTCTGTTTAACGTTAGATGTGTGGAGACTGGGTTTAAATATGTTAGCCTGGCCAGCCAGCCCTTTGTTTTCTCATGGGAAGCATTGTTCTCTGTGAAGAATTAAACAGAGGACGAGTCTGGCAGGCGAGGCTATAAATCTGTTACTTCTAAATATGGAGTTTTTTCAAGATTTTGATAAAATGTGGAAAGTTAGGATAAAAAATGGAATAAACCAACAGAAAGTCCAGTGGTAATGATTGCAGAGGCAGCGCAGCCCAACCAGCTGGGCGGTGTGTAATCCCCGCACAGGCGGTGTTTGCTTCAAATAGACTACAGACCTAGCTCTCTGTAGGAGGAGGATGGAGGTCCTGCAGGACTAAATTAAACATCGACGTGTAAATGGCGACAAACTGTGATGTACGTACATTAAATGTGGGTTTTGTCAACAGGGAAGTGGGTTTTGGGGGAATTTTTCACCGGCTGCCAGCGATGCTTAGTTGGCCGTTTGCGGGTCCTCTCGGCTCTCGCTGACAGAAGGAAACGTTAGACAAGCTATGTTTTTCGTGAGTAAATGAAGCGCTTTAATGTTTTTATGCAGTGATTATTACTTGGTGTCATATTGGCTGAATTTAATCTTAATGTAGCGCTTCTGAGGAAAGAAGCTGTCTCTGTCAACAGTTTGTTGGTGCTTATGTATGAAACCGCGTTCCAGCAATTAGCTGCATCCACACGCCCGAGTGTTAAATTGTTTTGTTAAGATGAAATAGCATTAATGGTCATTTTGATAACTTTCTCTTGTATTCATGATAGATAATTGTAAGCACTGAAATTACTGATGTATTAGAGTAAAATGAATGTGTGTCACCGACGTGAACCAGTTAGTAGACGGAGCCGGAGCACCGCTCCGTTATATGACGATGCTAAAGTTCGCTTACGGTTTGGAATTTGGCTTAAGTGGCGATTCCGCTCAGTTTCTTTCAACCTTTAACAGCTGCTATGTTAATAATTAGTAATTTTCCAAATGTATGAATATTAAAGACATTTAGGACTAGTTCTAGATGCCAAATAAACACAGAAACATACCCTTTTAAGTCACGCAAGAGCTTTTAGCGTGTTTAGAATATGATTCACATGCCGTAGTTTTTCACGTAGAAGCCGACCAGAAAGGCTCCAAACGAGAAATGCAGTGGAACGGGCCTTTAATCAAAATCAGAGGTGAACTTCAGCAGCATACCGTGGCTTTGTTTCCATCAATGCTGTTGTAGCATTTATGCTAGCTGAATAACTAGTTTGTTATTGACACATCTACAGCCATCATGTTTGTAGTTCTGACCCATGTCAGCCATCCTATTTAGCTACTGTGCAAAGATGCCACAAAATAAACGTTTTATCAGTTGTTTCATCTCTATTCAGACTGTTTTACTGTCCCCTCTGTTTTTAACACACATCCATCACTTTGTTCCTACAGTGAGATGTTTGCCACCTCAGAACTCAACACCAAACTGCCTTTCCAGCATCAGAAGATAGCCAGCCAGCTTGCAAGATGGACATCAAGAAGGAATGACGCTGTCTCTTTTCACCTTGGGTGATGCACCAGCACTTTATGAAAATGCACTGCGGCGGGTACGTTCTTCTCGTCCTGGTGTCTCTCACCACCTCCTGGACCGTTGGGGCCGAAAACCAAACAGAGAACAGCAACGTGACACACGGCGGGTTTGTCCCTGTTGTGTTCACAAACGTAAACCAGATCATCGCTCATGAGGGGAGCTGTGCACTGATCGACTGCAATGTCACTGGTGACCCATTTCCCAACATTCAGTGGTTCAACTCTCACGGAGAACGCCTTAACACAGAGATGAGCGGTAAGGAACACTTACTTCAATCTGCTGCAAATACACAAAGGTTTCAGGGTTTTGTTAGTGAAATAACTTCAGGCAGCTTCTTTCCTGGTTGCTAGGCAGATTTCCAGAGTATTTATTTGAGCCACCTTCAATAGAGTGAAGGAGTTAAGGAGGATTTGTTATGACGATGCCGCTTGTTGAAACCTGCTGTCAGAGTAAGGAGAGGTAGCTTTGTTGTAACAACCTAAAAATCCAGAACGCCGTGTTCACCCACAGAGCTTTTCCCTCAGGGTTACTAATTATAATTAGAGGCTCAACTTTCCCTGCTGTAAACACCTGCAGAAGCTGGTTTTACCAAACTGGGTCAGCGGGATGGGGGTGGGGGGGGTCAATCTTCCTTGTACTAGTAGGCAGCACATCAGTCAGATCACAAGATCCGGTAGTGGAAATATAATTAGAAACCCCTGTTTCCTCTGGAAAGGCAGATGGGTGGGATGCAGTGAGTCGGTCTGGTGTATTTCCTGCAGGCATTTTCATCTCCTGAGTATACCAGCGTGGGAAGTTATTTGTGATTGTAGGGCAGAAATCACCAGAAGAGTTTTTGTTTTAGCCTAATCTTACAGCTATTTCAAAGAAGGAGGAGGAGTTGCTGCCTGTGGGATAAAACTATTAATTATTTGGCTTTGTGACTGCTGAAAAATAGAGGGTGTGAATTGGCATGATTCTGGCGATACGATAAATATCGCAGTACAAGAGACATGAAATAATAAATTTGCAATACTAAAAGCAAGAAAATATTAGCAGTTTTTAAGTCTGAAGTAAATTAGAAAACTCAGGCCAGTCACATCCAGTATTATAAGATCTTGTTCCGTCAGAATGAAGGCTTTTGTAAAAACAGCTGCCACTTAGCAGTCCGAGTTTGAATTGCACCTCACAAAAGAAATACTAAACGTTTGCATGTAAATTCCCAGTAAAAGTCTTTAGACTGCTTTTAAATATCGATTGGGTATCATAACCCAATGTATCGCAGTATTTCAGTGTATCATTATTTTATTACATCCCTAACTTCAAGGGAAAACTCAAAGAATATTTGGGGTTAGATTCTTCAAAATAAGAGCGTAAAGTAATGCCTCCAACACGAGAATGTTTAGAATGATCTGTGATCTCTTCACAAAGGTTTTCAAACCCTGAAGGCCGAAGTTTCATATTTTAGAAGAGATTTTATAGCGTGTTGTTTTAACTCATTCACTGCCAGCCGTTTCCTATTCAGAAAAGCCCTTCGCTGCCAGCGTTTTTCCAGCGTTTTTACTGTTTTTTTAAGAGTCGCAGAACGTTGCGCGCTAGGATGATGTCAACGCCAAAACTAGCAAAACAAAGAGCAGACTCATTTCTTGCATCAGGGAGAATTGGCGTGTTTCGAGCGTTATCCGTTCTTTCATAATACATTGTCGAATTGCGATCGGCAGAAGCTTTTCCGGTTTGCGCCTCACTTTTTACAGCAGCAGCAGCCCAAAACAATCTCCTAACACATGGATTTTCTGCATCCTGGTCACGTGACATGTGACGTACGCGGATGAAGATTGGCTTTAGAAATGAGATGTTTGTTCTCACGGTGAGGGGGCTTGTTCTGACGCCCACACAGTAAAAAAAATGCAAATGACGACTTTAGTCGTCATTTGCAGGTAATGAGTTAAGCAGAGACATGTGGGCAGGGTGGGCACTTCCATTTTCAGTGAGAACGGAGGCAGAAAGGAGAGCTGCCTCCGTTCAAAGGACGCAGTGCTGCACACTCTTGATACAGAGAATTGGCCCATGTGCCCTGCCTGAATCAGTTAATGTGTGTGGGACAGCTCAGAGAGAACAGAGGCAGGCCAGTCTCTGTTTCCCCTCTGGCTTCTGCATGTATATTTAAGCAGGAAGACGACAGCAGCACCTGATGAGAAGACATTTTTGGTCAAAACGGTTCTTTTTGTTTGCACTTATTAAATTAATTTAATTGACCAGTTTGCTCCAGTCATTGTTCCTTTTCTGTAAGAATATGGGAATGGTTGCTATAAAAGCAGAGAAGAGCTTCTATAGAAGCCTGAATGTCCAAACAGGAAGTCAGTGCACAGGACAACATGTTATTTCAAGTGTTTATGCTTAGAAATAGAACCATGTGTAAAAACTTCACTGAATGCTGTTCTACAGAGTGTGTGGGGGTGATGGATAGATAAAGGTATATTTTTTGGGCGAAACTCGCTTGTTGCCAGGGTGTTTTGCCCTTGTTCTGTCATCTTCGTTCAAAAGGCAAGACAAAATAAGAGCATGCTTTCAGAGTGGAATGTGAGGAAAACATTGAAATAATCTTTTTTTGGGTTGTTTATAGAGCTAAAATGGAAAATGGAAAACAAATTTGAATAACCGTACAGCCCGAGGATGTCAAACCCTCCTGGCAACGTCTGAGATTGTTTGAAGTGGTTTAAGGTCAAAGAGCTGGATTAGAAGCACCAGAGCTGCAGTCAGCCGTCCTCCTGTCACGTCTTTAAAAGCTCAGTTATTAACATGTTTTATCTTGTTTTTGAAATGTTATACTCTGTTTTCTGGAGTATTTCTTAGCTCAGAAAAATGATTGTTAGTTATTTGCTATGTAGTTTACAATACTGTTAATACTCAGACTCTAAATGAGGAAACACTGCATGCTTTTGTCATTTAGCACAAGTAATTTTTGCACATGTAATCTTTTTCCACAAGATTTAAAAATGCAAAGTGATATGCTTGAGTTTGTAAAAATGTTCATATATATATATATATATATGTGTGATTAGATGAGTCTCACACAACTGTTTATTTTTTTCATTCCAACATTGAAACACAAACTCGTTGATGCATATTTTCAATAAAACCTCAGCTGCTTATCTCAAGTCTCATGCTGATCAAGTGAAGTAATGTAGCCATGATACCAACATAAAAAGCACAATTATTATTCTTTTGCTTGTTTTACTGACATTTCGGGGAACTGAAAAAACTTTATTTAAGCAACTGAATAGTAAATAGCTATTGCTGTAAAGCAGGCAGAGACGTCCCACTGGTGTTTCAACCTAACCCACAAAACTATTAAGTGCAGTTTTTAGTCAGCAGAGGACCACAGGGTGCTGTCCAGTAGGATGTTAATCAAGTTTCTGGCTCAAGAATCACTAAAACCAGTTTGAAGGCAGTAGCCTTAAAAGTATTAAAGCAATACTAAGAGTTTTTAATTAAATACGTTCTGTCAAAATGTGCAAACTAGTCACAAAGCTATCTCATTGATCTTTTGTGTGTCTCCAGAAGGGAAGTGGTGGCTGCTGGATGATGGCATCCTCAACATCACTAGCATTGAGTTTTCAGACCGCGGGAAGTACACCTGCATGGCGTCAAACATCCATGGCAGCTCCAACTGCACAGTGACCCTGCGCGTGGTCTTCACCAAGGGCGACATGGGCGTGTATTACATGGTAGTGTGTCTGGTTACCTTCACCATCATCATGATCTTGAATGTCACGCGCCTGTGCATGATGAGCAGCCACCTGAAGAAGACCGAGAAAGCCATCAACGAGTTCTTCCGCACCGAGGGCGCAGAGAAGCTCCAGAAGGCCTTTGAGATCGCCAAGAGAATCCCCATCATCACCTCGGCCAAAACGCTGGAGCTGGCCAAGGTAACACAGTTCAAGACCATGGAGTTCGCCCGGTACATCGAGGAGCTGGCGCGCAGCATCCCGCTGCCACCGCTCATCATGAACTGCCGCACCTTTATGGAGGAGATCCTGGAAGTGGTCGGGGTGGAGGAGATGAGGCACACCTTCGTCAGGCACGCCCCTGACTTACCGGGCCGTATTCCCTCCCTCGGGGTGAGGGACGTATTCACCATCCTGCAGGTAAGGGAGAGAGAGCGCAGCGAGTCCCCTGCTGCCGACTCGGACAACTCTTCTGTCCACGAGCAGCCGCAGCACATCGCCATCCAGGCGTCGATCCACCCGCCGCTCTCTCCCAGAGACTACTGCGGCGTGGAAGCCCCTCAGCAGCCGGAGACCTCCACACCACCTCCTCAGTGTGAGGAGCAGAGTGAGGCGGAGGAGGAAAGACCAGCTCATCAGAGCCCTCCCTGCCAGGTGTTTTATGAAAGCCATGTGTGACGAAACTCTGAGGAAGTATCCTGCTATGCACCTCCACTTGAAGACCACAGAGGTCCACCAAACATTTTCATTTCTCGTTTTTGGAAAGAAACAATCAGACTTGATTTAACTTCAACTTAATCTCTTAATCTGCTCTGGAGAAAACAGAAGCTCTGTAGACCGCTCTTCTTCTGTCTCTGGGTCTTTATGCTTGAATGTACACAAAGCAGTCTTTATTAATGAGTGGAGGTGAGTCTGTTACAGGAGGAGTTCTGGCTCTGGGAGCTGTTAGTTTCTTATATTGTTAGATGTTTTTCTACTATCTCCGCTGCTCTGATGTCGTCCAACGTCCTGCTAAAGCCTACAGCTGCATGCCAGCCTGATGAAGCATCAGAACTAGCTTGATTGTAAAAAAGTGCTTTTCCTGTTTAGACACACTTCTGGGTGGAGTCTCCTTTGATATTTATTTAAGTTAAGTATTATTACCCCCGTGTGGAGTACTTTGATTTCTCCTGTTTGTAAACAATCTTCAGTTAAAAACTGCTGTTTTAGGTTAAAACACACGTCCAACCCTTCTGCAGAAGCTCTTGCATGTTAAGGTGGAATGTGGAGATGTGTGACATCCTGTTCTGGGACCTAAAAGACTCCTTGTGTTTCTCCCTCTGCTTTGCTAAAACCTCCGTCTGTGGTGGAGACGAGCTGGACACTATTCTGCTTCTTACTGGTGCTCTCTCTTTGTAGTGGAATAAAATGCAAGTGCTGTGCTCTAAGAAAATTGCGTAATGGTGTGAATGTTTATTAACCCTGTACAGTATATGATGCATTTGAAGCCACAAAGTGTCACTATGGATGCCACTTTCTGACTTAAAGAGCAAGTCACTCCAAATCAACATTTTTTTGCTGATAAACTGTATAAATGAGTGTCTGATCGTGCTGCAGACACGTGTAGTCAATAATTCTGCACTTTAGTGCATCTTAGTTAAAATTTAAATATTCTGCCTAAAACCGTCGGTGTTGCACCGTCGTCAGGTAAAAACTCAGCCAATAGCGACAGCAGATTTAAATTCAAATGCAGTGCTAAGAGGTACACTATGATGTTAGATGGTACATTATGATGTCACAATGTCATGAGTGTGTATTTGTTAGCGGCTCCACCCTCTCGGTCTGCTAGGCAACAGCATTTGTTGCATTTTTCAAACAGGAAGTGGGAGTTGAGTAAGAATCTGGTAGGGGGTGACTTGCTCTTTAACTAAATTGAGAAGAGTCCTACATGATAAATGACCCGCACTTGTATAGCGCCTCTCAGAGTAAGGACTCCAAAGCGCTTTACACTACAGTGTATCATTCATCCATTCACACACACATTCACACACTGGTGGGGATGAGCTACGATGCAGCTGCCCTGGGGCACACTGACAGAGGCGAGGCTGCCGAGCACAGGCACCACCGGTCCCTCCGACCACCACCAGCAGGCAAGGTGGGTTAAGTGTCTTGCCCAAGGACACAACATGATGAGTTCTAGAGCCCACATTGACTCGTAAGAAAACTGAGGAATCCTCGACAACATTCCAAGACAACTAACATCCTGTTGCAAACAGTTGCAGCCCCGTGAGATTAAAGTTGAAAGCATGGAGGTGGAGTTGGGTTTGTTTTGCAGTTATTGGGCAGACAAACTCCTCTTTGACCCAGTGTTCTAAATTTAAATAGGGACAATCTAGCAAAGGACAGGACATTAGATCCAACGTCTAGACCTAACTTGATGAATGCAGTGAAAAAACTAAAGCTCCAGTGAGGAGTGCTGGTCATTCAAGCTTGCATGTTTTGTAAGGGAAATCGTAGTCATGACAACAAGACTATCGCTTGTCACAGAGATAAGAGAAGAAAAGGACAAATAGAAGATATGTAATGTTGAAAGAACAATCTTTTCCTCAAGTTTCAAATGTGTCAACGTTTATCATTCGTAGGTTTTAATCTGGATGACATGTTTGAGAAGGACGGCTAGACAGGAACCTGAGAGGACCGTCACTAGCAGCCTGAGGCATGAATGATGGATGTGAAACCTGAGACACTTTGTCTCTTCTAGCTCCATCATGTCTGGCTGCTTTGCTGATTAGATTTAGAGCTGGAGTTCAGCTTCCTCGCTCAGATAATCAGATCTATCAGGTAGATGCTGTATATTTGTGTTAACCTCCAAAGTATTGGAAATAATCTTCAGTTTATTTTAATCACATTTTAAAGTCATATAAAAAATTATATTAACCAGCTGTCAGCTGAAAAAAAAAAACCTTAAACTTAAGAGTAAATAATAAAATTAACACTTGTACCTAAATTCTCCACCAGGAGCACAAGACACGATGTTTCTCAACCCTGGTCCTCAGTGTCCCCGTGTCCTGTATGTTTTCCATGTCTCTTCTATGGCACACCTGGTTCACATATTTGCATTGCCTCCTTAGGATAACATCAAGTGCTGCATAGGCCTGTTAATCACTCATTCATTTAAGTCAGGTGTGTGGCAGCAGAGAAACAATGCTGTTGGAAACGGCAACATAGAAAACATGCAGGACAGGGCAGCGCTGAGGACCATGGTTGAGAAACACTGCCTTAGAGGTACCTAGTGCATTTTTTGTGCAGGCAGCAGTACTTTTTGAATAACTTTGGCTGTGATGATGCAATTCCTTAAATTTTTTTTATCCTGGTGTGTATTTTTGGGGAGATTTACCAAAAAAAAATCCCCTACTCCATTTAGAACATTGCATAGACAAAATAGTAACATAGACGTCCCTTGACATTTTTTGTACCATCGATTCATTCAACCGACATTTTTCCGAACAAAGCTAAATAGGGAACCTAAGTCTCCTCCCTTTTCGGTCGGCTTACGGGTCCCTGGAAAACAAAACAAAAAAATGAATGCAAGTCACCAGGGCTAAAAGAGCTGTTTTCTAATCCGCTTTGCCTTACGCCCTGGATTGCATATATGTTGTACTGCAATTTAAATTAAAACTAATCATGGGTGTTTTGACCATACCTGTCACGTACTTTGAGATTTATCAGCTTGTAAAAGTTTGTAATTAGCATGACTAAAAATTAGACATTGGTACGTCACATATATGACGTCAACACAGAATTTCTCCTCTGGCGTTCGAAAATAAGCGCGTTCTTGGTATCAAAATGTGCATTTGAAATTGACGGACATCATGCGTGAAATCCATGGCTACATAACAAGTGGAATTAGAAAATAGTGTTTGCCTAAGTCACGCACATCTACTTCCGGATCATGGGTCCCCGAGGGCATCATTTGGAATTCTAGGATGTCCAAGGAAGACATTTTGACTTGATAGTTCAAAGGTGCTGCTGTCATAACTTGTCATTTTGACGACACTGACACTTTCATTTGAAGAACAAATGATCCATTTTGATTAAGGGACTTGCTTTTGAAGCATGAACTACCCATTTAGAGCTACTGACTTGCTTTTGCAGGTTGTCTACCATGTTTTGTACTTTGGACTAATTGTTTGGAGAAATACCTTAGCAGTGGTGCAAACTTTAATACTGTTGTGAGCAATGCACCAAAGCAACAGACAGAAAACTAAACAAACTGTGGTTGAAATATTCGTCACAAGGCTGTTAAAGAAGTGGTAATGCTCCCCTCAGAGTCTTACTCCACCCACGTATCAATTTTAAAAACTGCAACATTAGTAGGCATTGCCTGGAGGACCGAGAGGGCGGAGCCACGGCAGTGACACACAGACAATGGGTAACGAGACGATGCTAGCTCCCTTCACTCTGAGCAGTTATTAGAAGTGGAGGACGTTTCTCCCCCTCCTTACACAGACACTCGAGAAGAAAGGGACCAAGTCTATTTGGAGGAGACAAGCGGACCTGAGCCTTATTGTTTTGAGCTTGTGAGTTGCCTGAAACTAGCGGAACCGACCCAACAGAACCAGCTCTGAATGGTAAGTAGCCGTTAGCCATAGCATTAGAGCTGCAGGGTTTGGCTCCACGGCCCCAGAGAGCTAGTATTCAGCATGTTTAGAGGTTTATCTGCTTCAACACACCTGGTTTTAATCAGCAACAAATAGCTGAGCTGCTTAACAGCTAATCTAACCTGTTAAAGCAGGAAAACCACTGAAACATGCTGGATAGCAGTTCTCCAGGAGCCTTGGGCTCAAGTTACAATCTGCTGCATAGAAAGTTACGAAACTACCCCATGAGAAAATTATTCTGTAATGTGTTCATTTATGTTACACAATCCCAAACAGCCCACTAAAACTGCTCTGATTTCATTATTTATTTACTGATACTAGCTGCTCTTGGTCGTAGGTGATCCTCTGGTGTCTGCAGCTGGTCTCCTTCTGGTGTCGTCAGGATCAGAAGCTTCCAGAAGAATGTGCCTTTCAATGACTCTTCCCCCCTTATTTGTTATATTAATTAAATAAATCTCAATTTATATATTTCCTGTTTTTGTTCATGTCCATAAATAAAGCAGCATCGACTCTGCTGTGCATTCAATGAGTAAAGGATGTAAAATAAACACATCAAGTGTTTAATCTTTGCAAACATTGAGTAATTTGTCTTAAATACACACTCTTGTGTTATTTTTTTCAAACACTTGTAGTTTTTTATTCGTTTTGATTAATTATGAAAACAATTCAGCTCCATTTTTAGACAAGATCACAATGATGTCAGGTTATTGCTGTCAGTGTGTGAGGCTGAGTTTATGAATGCAGCAGATCAAAGAGCTCTGCCTCCATTTTCTGGGCAAACTGAATCATAGCAACACACACGTAACGTGCTGAAGGAGCTATTCCACCGAAGGTTATTTACCCTCTCTCCTCAGATGCCTCTGGTGGGCGGGGCCTGCAGCAGAGAACAGGAAAAGGGCAGAGTGATTGACAGCTGGCAGGGTGGCATTCTGTGTTGAGGTGGAGGTGATGAAGATGAGCTGGAAGGAACCGCCTTGGTACTGAGGTGTGATGGAGCACATGATGCTGAAATCTGAGCCAATGGGAACCTCAGACCCCTGTTTTATGGCTTTGGAGACCCCGTCAGTGGAGGGAGAGAGGAAGATCTGTGGCTCCACCAACAAACCTGGTAGCAAGATAGCTTCAGTTTGTTATCAAACATTCAATGAAAAATGTCATGAGACTCATTAGTTGCCATGGTTACAAGCATGTATAAACATGACAGCTTCATTTGTGGGAAGGGCTGTTAGAGGACAAGCTGAAGCACAACATAGAGGGCCTGAAAGTGGAATAGACTCTAATGTTAACAAAACGTTCATCTACAGGTTCACCAGTTCCAGTGTTTTATTAGCAAGAAGTGAAACCTGCTGAAAAGTTACTAAACATGTGGAGAGTTCAGGATCACCTGAGCAGATCACCTCCAGGGTCTCATCAAAGTAATACTCATCATGATATAAACACTCTATCAGCAGAGATGCTGACTGCAGACAGGATGGATCTATCCTCTATGCAGGTCTTTGTGATATTCCTTTGATGTGTTAATCGAAACAGCAGAACCACAACCCAGGTTAGAACAAATTACAGCAGCCGAGTTCTTGTTCCAGACACTAGGCCAGTCCCCCACTGATCCTGGTCAAACACCTCCAGCTTCCCAGCACAGCGACTGGCCTCTCCCATCAACCCGATTTTATCTTAATGTGAGAAAAGACAGAAAAATCTAGAATAAATAAAATAAACCAGTTAACTGAATCAGGTGTGTAGCTCCTCCTCTACCTGAACAGGTGAGTTCAACAGCTTAACCAGGTGAGCTGGTGCTTCCATCTGAACCTGAGCTTCTACAGTCCAACAGAGCAGTCTCGTTGCCTTCACACTGGAACTCTTTGCTCCATGTTGGAGCCTCTGTTTCTCCAAAGAGCGCCCCCTGGAGGACTGAAGAAAGCCCACAGCCCAGCTCCCTGCAGACCACCTGCATCCTGCTGGTCAAAAGCACCTTCACCCACTGAGGACAAGGACTGGTCCAGGTTCACCTCCAGTCTGCCTGAACACCGGTTAATCCCATCCAGCGGTCTGACTGAGTCTGGACAGAGAGAGGAAGAGGATCAGCTGTTTAAAGGGAACTCCTGGTTTCTTCATGTCAGATATTTGATCATTTCTACCAGTTTACTAGAGTCAGCTGATGCTGCTCACATGCAGCTCAAACATTTGTCAACTCCTGGACTTAATGATGATTATTGAGCTCCTCCATTCACATTACAGAGCAGACAGATCAGACCCAGATCTACATGGAGGCTGCTTGTTATCAACACCTCTACAACCTCATGTTTTTCTGTATCTACACACAAATATTTGAACCATAACATCAAGGTTCTATAGCCTCAGCCATGTTGTTGCATCAGAAAAATACATTTAGTTCTAATATTATAGAGACGACTTCTTCTGATGAAACTTAGTTTAAAGTTCAGTTTGATTTAAAATGATTTTGTTCTGGTTTAGTTTTATTCTCCACCAGAAACACAGACAGAAGCAAATAACTCAACCTGAACAGCTGATCTTCATGGGTTTATAATAATCTCTACTTATCGGCACCACAGGTCCACAGTCCAGCTGTCTGCACACTTCAGCTGCTGATGTCAGGTTCCAGTCCAGGTCCTGGTCCACCACCTCCCACCAGTCTCCCTGATCCTTCTTCTGCAGGTCTCCATGACAATGACTAGTTCCCCGCTCCAGTCTGATTTCAGACGTCACTGAACAGAAGCACAAAAGAAACATGAAAAAGATTCTGAGCTCCAGATATAAGAAAGAAGAAGAACCTGGATTCATCAGCTAGTTTATTCAGCTTGTGTGTTTCTAAAGGAGTAAAGTAATAATTATGAATCAGGTGAATCTTGACAGGAACGGTAAAACCAACTAAACTGCAGCAGAAATTAGATACTGAGATGAATTCTTTCTGTGTGTAACTGACGTGTGTCCAGCAGGGGGCAGCCATGTTTAATGTGACTGAGTTTCATCAGAGATGATGATGATGTCATCAGTGACTCAGCTTTTATCAGACTGATCAGCTGCGACTGAATGAAGCTAAATAAGAAAAGAATGAAAATCAGATTAAAAATGTCCAAATATTCTAAATCCAATTCAATTCAGCAAAAGGCTAGGTTATCCAGAGTTATCTCAGTAGTTATGCTGCTATAGGCTTAGACTGCTGGAGGACATTTCCGCACTCGACTACTTTCTTCTACAATTTGCTCTTTAACTGCATTATTTTTTGCTATTTCAGCTGTTAACTTTATTTTTTCTCTAAGTGTTTTTCTCCCCAGAAGAAGCTACAATGGTGTTCTGCTGAGCTGTGGTGGCCTCATGGAGGGGGCCATTGGCTGAACACTGCTGCTAACCATTTAAACATTCTCCCTCTCCTGATAATAATATTTTACCTTCTTTGACAATGAATGTGCTACTACAAGTTTACCCATTTAATTATAGATTCACTAGGATAAATACAATAAAGTTTATCTCTCACCAAATAGATAATTTACTAAGAAATCCCAATGTAACTATAGAAACATTACTTGGTATATATGTTGTGTGTGTGGATGGGTTGGTGTTGGTGTTTGCGTGTTCTGTCTTCTCGATCCCCAGTGAGTCGTGGAGGATGGCTGCTTAAACTGAGCCAGGATTCTCTGGAGGTTTCTTCCTGTTAAAAGGGAGTTTTCCTCTCCACTGTCGCTAAATGCTTGCTTAGTATGAGGATTGCTGTAAAGTCACTGACACTAGTCAGTGACTTGATGCAATTTGCTGGGTTCATTATATAGGAAACTTTTTTTTGATTGGCTTAATGAACTGACCTGTATGGGAATGTTTACTGTGTGAAGGTCCTTGAGACAACTCTTGTCGTGATTTGGCGCTATATAAATAAACTTGAATTGAATTGAATTCTATTGTATTTAACAGGCAGCCGATGTAGAGAAGCTACAACTTTTAACTACATTCTGTGGACTTCCTGAGAGTAATGAATTACAGTAATCCAGTATTGATGTAATAAATGCATTAACTAGTTTTTCAGCATCACTCCTGGAAAGGGTGCTTCTAATCTTAGCAAAATTCCGAAGGTGGAAAAAGAAAATCCTACAAACTTGTTAAACGTGGGATTTGAATGACATGTCCTGGTCAAAGTTAACACCAAGGTTCCATACTTTGATCTCGGAGATTAGTTTAATGCCATTCAGCTCAGGTGATTGACAAAGCAATTTCCTTTTCTGAATTTCGGGTCCAAAGATGAGAACTTCAGTCTTGTCTTGATTTGATTTTTATGTCTTCAAGACAAGCCTGTAATCTACCTAACCGATCAGGTTCATCAGGGTTAATGGATAAATATAACTGAGTATCGTCAGCATAACAGTGGAAGTTTATCCCATGCTGTCTAATGATTTTACCAATTGGAAGCACATATATATTTATATACAGTATATGTGTATGTGTGTGTGTGTGTGTGTGTGTGTGTGTGTGTGTGTGTGTATGTATATAGTAAAAAGAATTGGTCCAAGCACTGAACCCTGTGGTACTCCACAAGTAACCCTGGAGTATGAAGAAGATTTGTCATGTAAATTTACAAAATGAAAGTTATCAGACAGGTAGGATTTAAACCAGCCTAGCGCTGTTCCTTTGATCCCTACAACATGTTCAAGTCTTTCTAAAAGAACATTGAGATCAACTGTGTCAAAGGCAGCACTGAGATCTAACAAGACTAGAACAGACACAAGATTCTTATCTGAGACCATGAGAATATCATTTGTAACTTTCACTAATGCAGTTTCAGTGCTGTGATACTCTCTAAAACCAGACTGAAATTCCTCAAGCAGATCATTAGTGTTTAGATGCTCACATACTTGGTTGGCCACTAGTTTCTCAAGGACTTTGGATAAAAATGGAAGGTTAGATATTGGTTAGAGAAGGTTTCTTAAGTAAAGGTTTGATTACAGCAACCGTAAAATCCTGTGGTACATACCCATTTACTAAGAATATATTGATTATATCTAGAATGGGGGCAGTAACCAAAGGAAATGCTTCTTTAAATAATTTGCTTGGGATTGGATCTAAAATGCAAGTTGAAGGTTTAGATGAAGCTAATATTTTTAATAACTCTGAAAGCTCAATTGGATCAAAACGGTTCAAACACAGATGAGGTTCTACAGTTACCTCTGATGCTGCCTCACTTACTGGGGAAGAAGAAATCACATTAGGGAGGAGGCTAGTGATTTTGTTTCTAATAGAATTAATTTTACTTGTAAAAAATCCCATAAAGTCATTGCTGCTGAGGGCTAAGGGAATAGATGTTTCAGAGCTATGATTCTGTGAAAGTTTGGCAACTGTACTGAAAAGAAATTTAGGATTATTCTTATTCTCCTCAATTAGCGATGAAAAATAAGCAGTTCTAGCTTATCTAAGCTTATTTTTATAAAGCACAAAACTATTTTTCCAGGATAAGTAGGACTCCTCCTGGTGTGTAGAGCGTCATGTTCTCTCCCATTTTCTAGAATTTTGTTTTAAAGTTCGTCAATGAGAATTAAACCTGGGAGCCAACTTCCTGTGCCTAATTATTTTCTTTTTTTAAAGGGGCAACAACATCTAAAACCACATGTAAAGAGGAATTAACATGATGAACTAATGCATCAATTTGTGAGGGGCTAGAACTGAAAATATTGCCCTCTGCTACATGCCTCTGATGCTGAGGACAGTAAAGATGGAACAGTTGATTTAAAAGATGCAACTGCATTGTCAGATAGAGACTGACTATAGTGAAATTTACTTTCATGTCTCGAGAACTCAGTTATATAAAACTCAAAGGTTATCAGAAAGTGGTCCGAGAGAACTGGATTATGTGGAAAGAACGTTATTTCCTCACACTCTATGCCATAAGTCAGCACAAGGTCTAATGTATGATGGCAGGAGTGGGTGGAGCTATGTATTCTCTGGGTAAAACCAATTGAGTCTAAGATATTACTAAAGGCTACATTGAGGCTATCATTTTCAATGTCCACATGAATATTAAAATCCCCCACTATAATGACCTTCAGGGGCGGAGTTAGGCCCAGCTACTTGGGCTGAAGCCCCAGATGTTTCATTAAAAGCCCCGGATCTAAATCCCGGAAGTAACATGCAGTACCAAAGTCCAACAGAGAGGGAGCAGCTAGCAGTAGTTTGTATACAGCCTGCCTGAACCTCCACCACTGAAGAAGAAGCCCTTCAGCAGCCGGCTTCTTCTACACTCTGCCTGAAACGCATGAGTGAAGATGGACATAAGGACGTTTTTTAGACCAAAAGTACAACGACAGAACCCCAGCTTTGATGAGACTGGTGTTGACTCAGGTTTGTGAGTCTTATTTGAAAATATTTGTTGTGCTGCTGGTTTGCCTAAAGTTAGCTTACTATCAGGTAAAGTTGAAGGAGAAAGAAAGGGAATATTTACTATCATCTCACACTAAACACTAACAGGAACAATACTCTGCCCTGAATATGCTTAATATGTAGCTTCAGATTAAAAATTATGTGGTACAAGACATGTATGATGTTGACTAGTGCGTGTCACGTGTGTGTGCGCGCGTGTGTGTGCACGCGTGTGTGTTAAGCCCCGGATCTTCTTCAGTCCTAAATCCGCCCCTGATGACCTTATCAGTATTTAGCACCAAATCAGATAAAAAATCAGAGATCTGAACCAAAAACTCAGAGTAAGCGCCTGTGGACGATACAAAACTACAAACAAGAGTGGTTTTACAGTTTTGCAATCTGGATTAGGAAAAGTAAGAATAAGATGTTCGAACGAACTGTAGCTATTAATTGGTAAGGGATTGATTAATAGGTCTGAATGAAAAATTGTTGCTACTCCTCCTCCTCACCCTGTACTTTGAGCAATATGATGATTTAAATAATTTGAAGGAGTCGACTCGTTTAAGCTAACATAGTCTTCCTTCAGGATTCTGAGAGAGAGCAAAGAGATCTGATTATCACAAATCAAGTCATTAACTAACAAAGTCTTAGAAAAACTAGACCTAATGTTCAACAACCCACATTTAATTGTTCTAGTTTTCTGCTGAGTTGAATTTTTTCTAATATTTATGAGATTTCCATGATTTGCTTTATTAAGCCTGATATTTAATCTGTGTGATTTTGGCCGTGGGCAGGACACTGTCTCCATTTGATATGATTTTAAGTCTTTTATTAACTGATGGACTAGATTCTGGTCCTTCACATCAACAACCAGCTTTAAGACCTAAAACTGATCAGTTATTTACAGAAGCAACAACATTTATTTCACTTTTTACTCATCTGGTCATCATTTCTACAGGTGCTGGTCAGAAAATGAGATTATCAGGACAACGTTTTTTATTTCAGTAATTCCATTCAAAAAAGGAAACTTCTATATTAGATTATAACTGATAACTAATGAAAACCCCAAATTCAGCATCTCAGCATATTAGAATAGCAATTAAGCAATTGCAATTGTTAATGCAAAACAAGGAGTTTTAGAAATGTTGGCCAACTTAAAAGTATGAACATGTACAGACTCAGTATTTAGTCGGTGGCCCTGCTCAGGTGTTAGGAGAGCCCATGTTGCTCTGATAGTGACCTTCAGCTCTTCTGAACTGTTGGGTCTGGCGTAATGCATCTTCCTCTCCACAACACCCCATAGATGTTCTACGGGCTTAAGGTCAGGTGAGTTTGCTGGCCAATCAAGAACAGGGATACCATGGTCCTTAAACCAGGTCCTGGTAGCTTTGGCGCTGTGTGCAGGTGCCAAGTCCTGCTGGAAAATGAAATCTGCATTTCCATAAAGCTGGTAGCAGGAAGCATGAAGTGCTCTAAAACTTCCTGGTAGACGGCTGCGTTGACCTTGGACCTCAGAAACACAATGGACCAACACCAGCAGGTGACATGGTGCCCCACTCCTGAGCTGCTGCTGCCCTAAAACATCTGGATAAGTAAGGGTGAAACAGCTGTGTGCACCTGAGATGGGCAGCCTCACCTCTGTCAGTGCGGCCCAGGGCCGCTGTGACTACATCGTAGATCATCACCAGCAGCGTGTGAAAGGATGAATGATACACTGTAGTGTAAAGTGCTTTGGAGTCCTCTGAAAGGCGCTATAGGAAGTGTGGGTCATTGATGATGAAAGCCGATGCCTACCTGAGCTGCAGAGAGACACCAACACCATCAGTGCTGTGTGATCCATGTTCCCTCTGCATGTGATGTGAAGCATCGTCTGGTGAGCTTAGTCTCTGCTCGTCTCTTTATCAGAGCAGGAGTCAGGTCCTGCCCTCTGAAGGCTTCCTGATCAAACTTTTTACATCGGTTACTTCCTGTCAGTCAGAGCTCAGGGGCCACTGATGATGTCCCAACTTCCAGAAACCCAATCAGATGTTGTAGTTTTATTAAATAAGAACATTTCAAATGTGATCAAACAGGAAGCATCAGGTTTCTTTCTTCCTGCCATCAGAACACTAAATGATGACAGAACTAACAGTTTTATTGAGGACCAGATAAGGAGCATCAGGGTTTCTATTCCAGCCTCTTCATATGACTCATACCATACCATACTTTATTTATATAGCACATTTAAAACGCAGCATGGGAGCTGCCCAAAGTGCAGCACAGGCTGGACCAAAACACAATCAATCAAAGCAATAAAACAGAAGATAAAAATACTGATCAATAAAAGCAAATAAAAAATTAGGAATACTAAGAACACAATAAAACACTAAAACGAGTCATGGTCTAAAAGCCAAATCATAGAAGAGGGTCTTTGAACGAGATTTAAAAATCGCCAATGATGGAGCCTGTCCAACTATAATAGGTAAAGACTTCCACAGGTTTGGGGCAGGATGGACAAATGCTCATTTACCCCAT